ACCTGCCCAGAACGTGTGGTCCTGATGGGGCTTGTGGAGTCCTGGCCTGTGGGCAGAGAGGTGTGATCATGGAGGGTTCATCCTAACTGTGTCACACCCCCACCTCCTTCTGCTGGTGTAGCCACCCTTGAAGGATGCATTTTTTGTCACATGAAGTAAGACATTCAACCACAATTTTCCTATTGGGAGTACATCATACTGCAAAGCAACCTTGTCAATAAAGGAGGCTGAAACCTAACATTAAAACCTGATGAAGCCTCTAGAATCAAGCTACAAATGCACAGAGCATATGGGACACAGAGGAATGATTCAAACAGATATTTGTGAGCACCATCAAGTAGAATCTGCATGGTGTCACTCTCCCAAAAGAAAACCAGAAGCTCAGTGATTCTTTAATACAGCAACACAAGAAAAAATGAAAAAGATATCTAGGGGCAGGAGGGGTGTGAAGACTGAAAGAGACTCAAAACCCAATAACAACCACAACAAATGGCACCAGATCATCAAGAGTGTAGGTCAAATGTGGGGAAATTGGAACCTTCACATAGTGTGGATGACCAGGGAATATGGCGTAACTGCTCTGGAAACCAATCGGACAGTCCTTTGAGGCATTACAACCCCCAAACCTGAGAGCATAGGCAAACACAGTCACACACCCAAGTGCTTGGGTCCCTGTCACCTGCATGAAAGACCCAGGAGCAATTCCAGCCTCCTGGCTTCAGCCTGGCCCAGCCCCAGCTGTTAAAGTCACTTGGGGAATGACCAGTGAATGAAAAATCTGTCTCTCTGTCACTCTACCTTTCAAATAAATATAATAAATCTTAAACAAAGTAAAACGAAGAAATCTTTCAGCTGCATAAACCGTGACTCATGCTGAAAGAGGAACCTTCTATTTAACGGCCAAAGAAGTCCCAACAAGAGGAGGCTTGGTGACCCCGGTCAGGAAGTTCAGGCTTGACACCAAGGGGAAGCTTGTGACCTTGATGTGAAGGCCAAGGCTGAGTGTTCACCTGGACTCTTTTGAGAAAGATGTGGGTGCTGTGTCTGAGCCCTGGGCACCTTGCAGATTCCTGTAGAAGAGTTGGGACTGGGTAGGACCAGAGTGTGTGACCACAGTGCCCTCCTGTTGGCTTGTCAATGCCTGAGCAAAGTGCAAGAGCACAGGCTCAGTAGTCACTAAGTGAACCCATTTTGCTGACTGAAAAGATGCAGAGGATGGCCCAGGTGAACATTGCCGACGTGTTTCCATCATGCACCCTCAACACCAGTTGCCATAGCAGGTGAAACAACACTCATGCTGTATTAGTGACAGGTGAGCTGGAGCTGGATGAGATCACATGCAGGGCACGGGCAGCTTCTAGCAGGTTCTGCAGCTGGTACCCAGGATGGCAGCATCTGCAGATGTCAGCACTGTGGCCCTAGACTCCTGGGATGCCCAGGGTCACTGTGTCCTTTCTGAGAGGAGAACCTGCCCCACACATTGTTTTAATGGGAGCCATCCAGTGTGAAGCTGATCCTTCTGTCTAGAATGTCCTATTCACCTGGGAGAGACCAAGCAAGGGCAGGGAAGGAGGGAGGGATCCTGCCAGGTGAGCCCCGGAAGAAGCAGGACTGTGGACTGCTGTTGGCATGTTGGATTGGGCAATGGTAGGGGCAGAGTCCTGAGTCCTTGATTATTTTTTTACTTCCTTATAGATCTATTTATGCTTTCAAAGGCTAAGTATCTGAGAGAGAGAAACAGAGTTGTGTCCTGGTTGCTCTCCAAACATCCCCAACAGCCATGGCTGGGTTAGTCCTAAGCCAAGAACTTTGAAATCTGTCTGTGTCTCCCATGTGGTGTCTGGGCCCAAGCACTGGCACCATATTTCACTGCTTTCCCAGGCACATTAGCAGAGAGAGCTGGATTGGAAGTTGAGCAGACTGACCTGGAATCAACACCCACATTAGATGCAGTGCTACAACTGTGATTTAACCTGCTGCTCTAGAAGGTTGGCTCCAGTCCTGAGCCTTCTAATGAGTACATAAAGGATCAAGGACACACCCCAGGAGCCTGGCACGCATGGCCTGGCTTTCGATAACAAGGCCAGGCATGTAAGGTACCAACACCTACGCCAGAGAAGCTGGCCTGCCAAAGGCTGCTGCTTAGTGCCTGGAGTGGCAGGGGACCCTAGTGTCTCAGAAGTGCCCTAGGATTGGCACCTGAGGCTTCTGTAGTTACCAGATCCAGCTACCTAGCAGGGGAAACCTAGATGAGAGGCTGGATGGGGACTGAAAGGCAGGTTCTTTGACTGGCAGGCAGCATTAGCACAGCCACAATCATAGGAAGCAAACGACCTCATTCGTGCCCTTGCACCTGTCCCAAGTCTGACCCCGACCAGCTCCACTCAGAGCCTCCAGCTGGGCTCACCCCTCTCTGTCTTTGGGGCAGCCACCACTCTTTCCTACCTTGAATGCTCTCAATTCTCACTGGATCCCTCCGGATGCCACCGCTTCCAGATGCTGGCCCTCCCACTGACTCAAGCTCTAACTGCAGAATTGACCCAGGTCCCTTTGGGAGTCTCACCTTGTCCTGGGACGAGGAACAGCAGGAGTCCGCAGGCCATGGTACCTATCCACGCACACATCTGGTACAGCCCCATTGTCTTAGGCAGGTCCGCTTGTATGCGTAGCTGTATGTCTCAGAGGCTGCCACAGGCAGTTCCAGGACAGAGCAGGGTGTAGTTCAGGCTGGAGTTTGACCTGAGCAGGGAGAGGATGGGTGGAGCAAGAGGATCTTACAGAGGAGTAGGACCCAGCTGAACAGGTGGATGTCATTGTGGGCCTAGGGCTGGGATTACCTCTTCTCTCTCCTAGCTTTCCAGTATTGTTCTCTCAGTCCTGGAGTTATGGCCAACTGCAGTTTTGGCATACACTACAAGCAGCCGTGACTGTGATTGCACAACCCAGAAGGCCCTCTCTGAAGAGTCACGAGGTTAATACCACAAAAGGAGAATTGTCTTAGGGCTTTTATTAATTACATTGTACTACTAATTACATTTAATTAATTACATTGTGTTGTTAATTGCATTTTATTAATTACATTGTATTATGTGACACAGTTTCATAGGCTCTGGGATTCCCCCAACCACTCCCCCTACCCTCCCCGTCTTAGGGTTTTAACTGGGTGGAGGGGAGGCCCCAAGCTAAGGCTGGGAGCTGTGACTGTCCCAATCCAAGAAGCTCCAGGTTCCTCACTGGTACTCCCTGGGTTCCTGGGTCCTTCCCCTGGGAGCCTCTGCCCTCCCTGCCCTACTCCCTGTGCCCCTTTCCTGCCTGGTGCTGGTGGAACCCAGTGTTTCCCGTGTCCCCACCTCACTCTAAAACCACTTCTTTTCTCCCCTTGACAAGGATGCCTGCTGGTTGTGCTAGGAAGGGGAACTCAACAGACACAGCTGAACAGGGAGCGTTGCCCCGTGAGTCCACTTCTTCCCTAGTTACTCTGTCTAACACAACCATGCCCAGATACACATGTGCCTCATCAGGATCAGGAAGGAGATGCTTTTATGGAACCAGAGAGTGCAGCTCCATGTGGGAGGGTATGTACAACCCCCAGAAAACGTCCCACAGGTGCAACAAGCTGCAAGGAGAAAACACATTTAGATTGTGTACCTGGCAAAATACAATGTCCAGAATAAAGTTTTGACACAGCAAGCCATGAAGAAGGTGGACAGCTCATTCATTGTAGGCCTTTGCCTCGGTTGCTTAGATGCAGGGAGGATGAGTATGTGCCATATTCTAGTGCTTGTTTTGGCCCCATGCTCTTATTCCTAGTCCTAGCTCCCTGCAAAGGTGATGGAGATGATTCAGATGACTTGGTTACAGTCATCCACGTGAGACACCTGCATGAGTTGTGGCTCCTGCTTTGGTGCCCAGGCCTCCGGACTGTGTGGAAAGAGACTCAGAGGATGAGAGATCTCACTCCCTCTATTCGTCTTTCTCTCCTTGACTCTACCTTTCAAATAGATAGTTTTTTTTAATAGCCAAATGATCTGAATAAATATCCCCAATAACAATATACAGAAGGCCAAAAAATATATTCTATATATTGTATATGTTTAAAGATTTTTTTTTAATATTGAAAGACAGAGTTACAGAGAGAGGGATGAAGAGACAGAAAAAGAGATGTTGCATCTGTTGTTTTTTTTCTACGGACGGTCACAGTGGCCAGGGCTAAGCCATACTGAAAACAGGTCGAAGGCAGCAGCCAGGAGCTTCTTCTGGATCTCTCACATGGGTGCAGGGGGCCAAAGTTTGGATCATCTTCTGCTGCTTTCCCAGACTAATCAGTAGGCAATTGGATCAGCTATGGAGCAGGCAGGAATAGAACCAGTGCCCCTACAGGACAGCATGCCTCTGTGCTGGGCAACAACAAATATATTTAAAATGTGCTCAATATCACTAATTATTAGTGCTATTAAAATAATTACAGCTTTTCTGATAAAAGAGAAAACTTGTCAATACTGGCAGGGATATGAAGAAAAGAGGATACTTCTAAGCTGTGAAATGGGATGTGACATAGTAGAGATCTCATGGGAAACTCTATAGAAGTTCCTCCAAAGCTGAAATTAGGGCCAGCATTACAGTGTAGTGGGCAAAACACTGGCTGCAACATGACCTTCTGATGAGTGTTAGTCCTGTCCCTGCTGTTCACCTTCAAATCCAACTCCTGGTAATGGCTCAAGAGAAGCAGCTGAAGCAGGGTACAAGTATTTTGTACCCTGGTACCCAGGTGGAAACCACATGCAGTTCCTGGCTTTGAGGTGGCTCATATTATGTGATAGTTGAAATTCTCTAGGGAGTCAACCGGTAGATGGAATGTTCTCTCTCCCTGTATTTACAACTCTAATCTTCAAATCAATAAACATAGGATCTTTAAGGAGTGAAATTAAAACTATGATAATATCAAAAATTCCTATTTCTGGGTATAAATACAAAAACAAAAGGTGTATCTGCACCCTGTGTTTATTGCAACAAATGTTCTGATACCTGAGCCCTGCAACCCACCATGTACATGAGCGTGTGGCATGGTTACCTGGATGAGTATTTCTCAGCTGAAGGAATGGGAGCCTTTATTTATGGTAACACAGAGGGAATGGAAAGAGGCCAGTGATGGCAGCCTGAGGGCACCAGAACATGGCGGCGGCTCTGGTGCCCAGGTCCGCTAGGGTCACTGATAGGGGTGAACTCACAGGGCATGTTAGGAAGAGGAGGAGGAAGTCTTCTTACACCTAGTGGTGGGCAACAACCCCCAAAGCAGCTCACATTGAGTGGGGAGGGTCTGGGTTTGGGAGGATAGGAAACTCAGGATGAGAAAGTATTGGAGGAAGAGGTGAGGAGTGTAGGAGGGGCTAGAGACAAGGGAGATGAGGAAGGTGGGCATAACTTTTATGGGGGCAGTGTTGAGTGCACCTAGTGCAAGACACTCAGGGAAGGATGGACAGGGGGTCCCAGTAGTTCCTCCACAAGGGTGTGCCAAGTGGATGAGGGCAGGTGAAGGACAATCCTTAGTAGAGCCAGGGTCCCCCTTCCTGACGCAGGCCGCTACAGCTCCACGTGCTTCTGCTCAGTCCCCATCAACTCCTGCATCTTCTCGGGCAGAGTCTGCATCCAGAACCGGTGCCTGTGGGCCTTCAGGGCCCGGCCCACCACAGGCTGCGTGCTCAGCTGCAGGTACTTTTCCTCCTGGTCCAAGATGGGCCAGTGTGGCAGACCTTCGCCATTGGGGTTCCTGCAGACAAGAGGTCAGGAAGGTGGGACCATGAGGACTCTGAGCAGCCTCCCTGGGGTTGGGCCAGGTCAGGGTGGTGGGGAATGGTTGCAGGTGCAGGAGAGCTGCTTCCTTCCCTGGTGTCATATGGGGACCTGCCAATCCAGGTTATGGTGTCTCACACTCCACTGTGGAGCCTCTGAGGGCGACAGCTGATGGGCACATGCAGATCTGCCCTGTATGGATAGATAGAGTGTCCCTGGTCCCTACTACCCCTGTGTGTGCCACTGAGTCCTGAAACTTGGGAGGGAGCTGTCATGTGACGAAGGACATTGGACTGCTATGGTTCCCACAGGGGAGGATCCCATGGCCCTGAGGAAGTAGGGGTAGTTGGAACAACCCACCCGGTGCGAGCAAAGTTGGCCCAGTACTTCATCATCCTCCTGCTCAGCAGCTCCTCCTCCTCAGTGAGAGTCACTGCAGCAGAGAAAGACATAGAGTCAAGTCAGGCAGATGCAGGCCTGCTGCCTATTCCTGTTCACATTTGCCAGCCCAGGCCTTTTGCCCCACCATGACTACACATGCCAGCCCAGGCCCAGTGCCCCACTTTGACCTCATTTGCCATCCTAGGGTTGGTTCTCTGACCTCCCCACAGTTTCTGGGGGGCAAGTCTCATTTTCTCACCGGACACCAGCTCATCGTGGCTCAGAAATGGCATCTTTTTGACTGGCAAACAAACACGCCTTTGACATAGGAGCCCCTGCTGCCAGGCCAGACAGCCAATGCCAGGGCGGGTAGTGGGTATAGGCTGATCTTGGCTGCGACTTTATAACTCCTCTTTTGCCCCTACATCCAAGTCCTGCCTCTAGGGGAACCCACCTCCACTTCTCACAAAAGGGAGTCCGAAGACAAAGGCAATCTCATCCCCATGGTCTGCCTTCACGTGGGGTGGCTTCTTGTCTTTCAGGAAGCTGGGCCGCTGCTGGAACTCGTAGAGGTAGACGGGGGCGCGGCTTCCTGGAGGGTCAGATGGTGGCTGAGTTTTTCAGGAGGGGAGTGGTTTCAGCCCCTCAAGCTTTCCGGCCTGAGTCATGACTAAGTGCACCACAGCTGGGATCTGGAGTCTGGATGGTGGCGGTGGGGCGTGGTACAGTGCAGCCTCCAGAAGGGAGCAAGGGCAGTGGGGACCTCCTGAATGGAGTCATGACTGGGGACTTCCCAGCTGAGCAGCTTCATTTACCACAATTTACACAATATAAAATAGGGGAGGTGTCTGTCCTGAGATTTGAGATAGACTAGGTGGGGCTATTACGAGTTCTGGTCCCCAGGGACCGTGGAAAGAAGGCACAGGCGGGTGGGCATTTGATGCAATGGCTAAGATGTCACCTGGACACCTGCTTCTTATTCCAGCTCCTACCAATGTGTGAGAAGAGGCGACAGATCCTTGTCCCCCTGCTCCCACCATGGGGGAGATCCAGGTTGAGTTCTGGACTCCTGGGTTTGGCCCAGGCCAGCCCTGGCCACTGCAGGCACTTAGGGGAGTGAAGGAGTGGGTAGAGGATCTTGGTGCATCTATTTTTTCAGAGTATATCTCTACCATTCCAATATATCCCTGATGACTTTAGAAAGATGTGGGAAGGACCTGGACAGGGTAGATTTCTGGGCCCCATGGTTCTGAGCCCCTCCCTTGACTGTCAGAGCTCAGTCACAGGTGAACTCACGGTGCACATGTGCGACATGGAGTGCAGGCATCACGAAGAGGGCATCAGCCATCATCTCCTGGAACCCAGCCTGGAGAGTTCGGGGGTCCTCACTGTCCCCCATATATTCCTCCATCAACAGGTCCCCAGACTCAGGGGGCAACATCTAGCCCAGGTGATGGATAGAGAGGTGAGTTAGGTTAATTCCAGGGCAATGTGGAAATGAGACCCAAGGAATGGGAAAAGAGCCAAGCTCTGGGATGCCCCACCCCCAGGCAAACACACAGATGCACACCCCATAGCTTTTGCTCTTGGAGCCCCTGTCTGAGCAGGACTCTGGGGGCTGGGCTCCTGAGGGACTAGAAGGGAGCCACATCTCCATGGTGGAGGGGCTCAGGAGCCTCACCATCTGGGCTGAAGATTTCTGCAGAGCAGCACGCATGTCCTCTCTGTCCATTTCCTTCTGAGTGTTTGCAGTGCTCATGCCCTGGGTGGCAAGGAGTGAGTCTCATTGGGGCTGGGTGAGATGGGTGGCAGTATGTAAGCCTGGAGCTACAGAGTCCCTGATATTTCTCCCCCACCAACCAATGAACTCCTGAGTCACCTAACCGCATGCAGCCCAGCCTCACCCTGGGGAGGAGCCAGCCGTATTCATCGTTGTTGACACCAATGATGCTAGGGACAGGTTGGAAGTCAGCAGAGGCCAGCAGCTCCTGGGGATGCCTGGGCAGGAAGATGCCATCCACCACGCCTGGGATGATTCTGAAGGTCTGAGGAGGCAGGTGAGACCAGGGAGCCAGTCAGATCCCTGGCCTCTTCTGACACCTTCTGGCTTAGGCCTGTGTGTCCACACTCTCCCCAGGAGGTGCCATGACTGACTTGCCTCCAGGACAACAAGGACAGCTAGATGTGGAGACAACATGGCTGACTTGGGGATCAGGAAGGGCACCTGAACCCCTGACTCCATGCTCCTCCAGACTGTAGTGGATTGTCCTGACCTTGGTGATGGCCAGCATCTCCTCTTCGCTCTTGCCCCGTAAGCAGGCCACAAAGCCCTTGGAGTTCACCGGATCACAGGCAGACAGATTGGCCACCAGCTGGAAAGGGACCACACAGGAACCATCTAAACAACCCAGGCAGAGTGAAGAGTTGGCCCAAAGTTTGGGCTGGAGTTAAGGGTGCCTCAGTCTCAGATCCACTGTATAGATCATTGCTGTGAAATGGTCCGACTACAGTGCACTTGGGGGGTTCAGCCAAAATGGTCAGTGCATCTGCTGGGAGGATTCTTCCCAGCAAGGGATCCCCAATACAGCAGCTTAACAGGTTACAGAATCACTCTAATCTCTACTAAAGCACTGGTATGTGAATTCTGACCCTTGAATTCCTAAGCCATCCCCTGAGTGGGCAATGCCAGGGCACCTGATGGTCCACATGTGCCCACTCAACAAAGACACTGGCAGAGGCCTCAAGAAAGGGGACAATGGCTGTAGGTCTGGGCTGGGCCTTTAGGGGACACTTACCATGGAGACCGTCTCAGATGAGCTGGAGATGAGGCCAGGCAGCACTGCCACACCACTCTCCATGATGGCTCCATGGAAGAGTCCTTGCGACATGGGTGATAACACATGTGAGGACACGCTGGTGCCTCCTGCAGACTCGCCAAATATGGTGACCCGGTCAGGGTTGCCTCCAAAGTGGGCGATGTTCTGCTGCACCCAGCGCAGTGCAGCCACTTGGTCCAGGTAGCCCCAGTTGCCACTGGCATGCTGATCTCCAGTGCTGAGAAGTAACAGGGACAGGGATGGCAGGGCTGTGCCAGGGCTGCTCCTCCCTTAGTGCCCGGCCCAGGCCCAGACTCACCTGAAGAATCCCAGGACGCCCAGGCGGTACTGGATGGTGACCACCACCACATCCTCAAAGGCTGCCAGGGCAGAGCCGTCGTACATGGAAGCCATGCCTACAGCCAGAGCACCCCCATGGATCCACACCATCACCTGGGGACATCAGGTTCAATGCCAAGAGGGTCCTCTAAGCCCAATCTCACCAAGATAAGCCACTGCTTGATTCTGTGCACCTGCTCATGCAGGAAGAACTCCAACTCCAGCAGACTGTGGACCTGGATCCAATTCTCTCAGAAGCACCAGGCCATTCACACTTTGGGGTCCCCTCCCCTACTACTAAACTCTTGCTTCTTTACTTCCAGGGCAAAAAAGTATGCCTTCCTAGTTATTGTACTTGGGTTGCAATCCATCATTGTCTTCAGCATAAACAGTTCACAGCCAAAGGAGTGGGGTGACCCGAAGCATAGTACTTGGGCACCCAAGTGACTCTATTGGCCACGATTTGTTCAGTTAGTCCTGGGTCCATCACAGGGCCATGCTCAGGGGTCAGCTTCCCACTGAATAAAAGAAACATTCCTTGGACCTGACACTGAGAGGCCACAATGAAGCGAGGTCTGGGCTAACCTTGACATTTCTAATTTTCTTGCCAAAGCTCATGTCCTTTCCTTCTCTCCTCCTTCCCATCATCCCATCCACCCAATGACTTCGGGTTGTCACTCACAGGCAGGCTGGAGCCCTCACGGGCATGGGCAGGTGTGTAAACATTGAGGTATAGGCAGTCCTCAGACGTGGGGGAGGGAGGCAAGCTTATGTCAAAGAGGTTCTCCATCACTGCACTCATTACAGCCACATCCTGTAGACACCTGGTGGTTGCCATGACAATAGTCAGTCCGGGGCTTCTTCATGTGGTCACATTCACTGCAACATCCCAGTACGACTTCATCCAGGAACAGGGGAGCAGCCCAAGCATGTAGACGCCATTTTTCCAGGAAGGGAGGTGTCACAGGCCTCATCCTAATTCTAGACTCTCAGGGAACCTCATCACTCCCTTCCTATCAAGTTGTAAAGATATGACAAGTTCCTTGTCAGTTGGTTTGGTGTCCATGGCTATTTGGTCCCCTGGGAGACCCAGCTGGTGCTCTTCTCAGGGACAAACAGAATCCGCTCTTACATCACTGACTCCTATAAGCTTTACGAAGCCAACCTGACTCTCACTTGGAGAGTATGCCCCCTGGTGGAATGTTGGAGTCAGCTTTTCTCTCTTGTCCCTGAGTTGACGTCCTGGGTTCTGAGCTGGGAGCTCCAAATGCCACCACATCCTCCTGAGCCTCAGCAGGCTCATAAGAAATGCACATGGGAACCCACTCCCCCCCCCCTTACACCCACCTGGCTGGGGCTTAGGAAATTGATCAGGACAGGACACCTGTGGCTGTCTCAGAGCTCTCAGACCTTCCCCATTCCTCCCCTTACCCTGTGGGTTCAGAGGTTCGCTGGGACCTGGAAGAGCTTACACGGCAGGGTGGGAGGTGCCATCTCTCACTCCACTCCAAGCTTCAGCAGGCTCAGGAGGTGCAAAGCGCAGTGGTCCCAGAGGTGGTTTGGCAAAGGGAATGCCCAGGAAAGTGTGGACACCCACGTTGGTGCCTTTTACATGCACAAGACTTCCCCGCACCTGCCCGGAGTTTGTGGTCCTAATAGGGTTGGTAGAGTCCTGGCCTGTGGGCAGAGAAGTATGATCATGAATGGGCTGCCTGCAAGCTAACCTCCCCCTGGTTCCATACTGCAGGTGTGACCTTCTCTCCAAGATGTATTTTGTCACATGAGGAGAAATACCCAACAACATAGATTTTTCTATTGGAAACATATGGCACAGCAAAACAGACCTGTCAATAAAGGAAACTGAAACCTAGAATTGGAAGCTCATAAAGTCTCTAGAATAGAGTTACAAATGCACAGAACACATGGGGGACAGAGGAACAGTTCAAAGATACTCCAGGGGTACCATCAGTAAAACTCACATGGTGTCTCAAGGAAAACCAGAAGTCCACTGGGTACTTTAATGGGGTAGCACAATTAGAAGAAAATGAAAAGAGAGCAGGAGTAGGAGGTGGCATGAAGAGTGAAAAAGACTCAAAACACAATAAAAATGACAACAAATGGCACCAGGTTATCAAGAGTATAGGTCAAAATGTGGGGAAACTGGAAAATGATCTAACTGCTCTGGGAACCAACTGGGAAGTTCTTTGAGTCATTACAGGTGGCATTGTCAGTGGTTGCAACCCTAGGTATCAGCCCCCAAAAGCTGAAAGCACAGACAGGGCAGATGAGGCCCTGCAGTGAAGGGGCTGCCTGGGCAGCCTGCATCCTTCAGCAGAGTGCCTGTGTCCAAGCTCCAGCTCCACTCTGGGGTATGCACTCCAGCAGGTGACAGCAAGTGATGAGAGGAGGTGATGGCTCCGGTGCTGGGATCCCTGTCACCCATGGGGGAGGCTCAGTATCTAGGGAGTCAACCCACTCAGCACATTGAAAACAGGCAGAAAACGTGGCCTCTATGCTGAACAGGTGCTGACATGCTTCCCATCATGCACCATAAACACAGAGTACCAGAGCAGGTGAAACAACGTTCATGCTGTATTAGTGATGGGTGAGTTGGAGCTGAATGAGATCACATGGAAGATATGGGTGGCTTCTACACAGGTGCTGCTGGTACCCAGGATGGCAGCATCTGCACATGTCAACATGGTAGTCCTGGACTCCAGGATTACCCAGGAAATACCTGCTGCTTACAAAGCTGGCTCCAGTCCTGCGCCTTTTGAATGAGCAGATAAAAGATCACAGACACACCCCAAGAGCCTTGCACGCATGGTCTGAGCTTTTGATAACCAGGCCAGGCATGTAGGGTACCATCACCTTCGCCCTAGAGGGCTATGCTGCCAACCGCCATTGCTCAGTGCCTGAAGTGACAGCGGCCCCTGGTGTCTCAGAAGGTACCTAGGATTGGCACCTAGGTCTTCTATAGTCCCCAGATCCAGTTACCTCAAAAGAACCCACTAGATGAGGCATGGGGGCAGGCAGGAGCAGGGAAGCAGGTTCAATATAAGCCTTGGTCTGATAGCCACAAGCACAGGAAGGAAGTGACCTCAAATCCAACCCCTACATTTGTCCCAAGGCTCAGCCCAACTATCTTCACTCATGCTTCTCTCTGGGACAGCTACCACTCTTTCCCACTCTGGGTTCAAAGACCCCACACTCTCAACCCTTGGTGGCTCCCACCATCTCCCTGATGCAGGCCTTCCTGCTAACTTGGGCTCTAACCACCCACCACACCCGTGTTGCTGTGGCTGCCCATGGGAGCCTCACCATTGCTGGGGACTAGAAGCAGCAGGAGCCCACAGGCCATGATGCCGAGTCTTGCGCACAGCCGGTGCAGCCCCATGGTCTGAAGCAGGTCTGAGTGTGAGCTGCAGTCATGTGCTCCAGAGGCTGTCCTGGGTGCTCTGGGGGTGGAGCTGGTTGTCACCCAGGCCAGAGTTCAGCCTGGGCAGGGAGTGGGCGGGGAGGCGTTTGGGGTGGAGCAAAGGGATCTCTCAGGAGAGCATGACTGAACTGAACAGATTAAAGTCAGTACGGGCCAAGAGCCGGGGTTACCCCTCCTCTCTCCCTGCTGTCTAGGATCCTCCTGTCAGTCCTGGAGTCATGGCCAACTGCAGTGTCAGGATAGACAACAAGCAGCCATGGGCTGTAATAGGACAACAATAATGAGGAAAGTGATTAAAATCCCCACAAATGGAGAATTGGGCTCAGTTTTCAGCTGGCTGGAAGGGAGGCTCCCGTGCAAACCCCAGCAAGCACCCCATAGGTACAATGAGCCAGAAGGAGGACACACAATCAGATTGTGCACCTGGCAGAGAAGAGTGTCCAGAATACAGCAGGCTCAATTCAACAAGCCATGTAGGAAATGGACAGATCACAGTGGGCCTTGGTGGGGGCTAAGATTCAAGGAAGATGACTCTGTCCAATATTCTAGAGCCTTCGTTTACCCCACACCCTGATTCCTAGTCCTAGCTTCCTGCTAGGCAATGGAAATGGTTCAAATAATTGGGTCCCAGCTATCCACATATGAGAACTTCGTGGAGTCGCGGCTCCAAGCTTTGGTGTCCAGGCCTCCGGGCACACATAGCAAGTGACTCAGGATGAGAGCTCTTGCTCCCTCTATTTGTCTTTCTTTTCCTGGCTTTACCTCTCAAACAGATTGTCAAGTAGTATGAATTAATATTTTCAATAACACAATGTACAGAAGACATATATCACATATCATTTATATATGTATATGTGTGTGTGTTTAAATAAATATTTATTTTCCTTGAAAGGCAGAATTGCAGAGAGAGGGAGGGAGAGACAGTTGCAAACAATTGTGGCACAGTTACTTGGATCATCTTTTCTTAGCTGAAGGAATGGGAGACTTTACTTGTGGCAACATAGAGGGAACAGGAGGAGGCCATGGATACCTAAGGGCACTAGGACACGGCAGCTCAGGTGGACAAATCCCATATGGGCTGCTAACAGATGTGAGTTTGCAGGGTGTGCTGGGAGGAAAAGCAGGGATTCTGACACTCAGGATTGGGCATCAACCCCTAAAGCAGCTCCCAGGAGTGGGAAGGGTCTGGGGATGGGAGGTAGGAGGAAGAAGGTGAGGAGGACTTATGGAGGCAGAAGAGACCATGGGCCCCTGGGAAATGGCGAAGGTGGGCTATTGCAGGCATTGATAGGCACAGTGTCATGGAGGCAGTGTAGAGGGCATCTGATTCAGGGCACAAGGTAGGGCTGAGCAAGGAGTCTTGGGTCCCAGCAGTTCCTCCATAAGGTTGTGCCAAGTGGATGAGGGCAAACAAGTGATGGTCGTGGGTGGGGGTCAGGTCCATCTAGACACAGGCCGCTACAGCTCCACGTGCTTCTGCCCAGTCCCCATCAACTCCTGCATCTTCTTGGGCAGAGTCTGCATCCAGAACCGGTGCCTGTGGGCCTTCAGGGCCCGGCCCACCACAGGCTGTGCGTTCAGCTGCAGGTACTTCTCCTCCTGGTCCAAGATGGGCCAGTGTGGCAGACCTTCGCCATTGGGGTTCCTGCAGACAAGAGGTCAGGAAGGTGGGACCATGAGGACTCTGAGCAGCCTCCCTGGGGTTGGGCCAGGCCAGGAATGGTGGGGGATGAGTTTGCAGGTGAGGAGAGCTGCTTCCTCCCCTGGTGTCATATGGGGACCTGCCAATCCAGGTTATGGTGTCTCACACTCCACTGTGGAGCCTCTGAGCGTGACAGCTGATGGCCACGTCCAGATCATAGGGCAGGTGGGGAGAGTATCTGTAGTTCCCAGGACCCTTGTGTCCAGTAGGTCCTGTAGCTGGGCAGGACACTGTCACATGCCTAAGGACATTGGCTGCTAGTGTGGTCTCCACAGATGAAGAGTCCCATGGCCCTGGGGACATAAGGATGTAGGGTGGGGAGCCTCACCTAGTACGAGCAAAGTTGGCCCAGTACTTCATCATTCTCCTGCTCAGCAGCTCCTCCTCCTCAATGAGAGTCACTGCAGCAGGAAAGGACACAGGGTCAGCTCAGGCAGGCGCAGGCCTGCTGCCTATTCCTGACCACATTCACCAGCCCAGACCTGTTGCTCCAACTTGACCACAGTTGCCACAAAATTGAGCTTGATCGGCTTTCCCTTTGCCAAACTCCATATCTAAACCTGGTCTCAAGGTCAGCTGAACTTGGCCTCTTACTGGAACAGTGTATTGCACCCTTTTGATCTTGGGAGATCACCTCTGCAGCCAGGACAGACACTCATCACAAGGCCAGACAGAGGAGGAGGGAGCCAGGTCTGGAGCACTCACAGTGCAGTCCTGGCTCAGCCCTGGGAGCTGTGGGACTTGGGATGCTTGATCCCATCTGTGCCTCAGTCCTGACATCTGTGCAGTGGACACAGCACCCCCTCAGGACTCCCAACTGCTGCATCCCCATCCTGGAGAAGGAGGAAGCCTCACCTTTTGTCCCAAAGAAAGTGGATCTGAAGAGAAAGGGAATCTCATCACCGTGGTCAGCCCTCACGTGTGATGGCCGGAAGTCCTTCATGAAACTGGGTGAATGCTGGAACTCATAGAAGTAGACGGGGGCGTGGGAACCTGGGTGACAGGTGCACAGGGTGACATTTGGAGGCCCCTTCCAAAGGTTTCCCTTATTCCCGATAAGACAATGCCCACTTGGTCTAGCTAGGACAGTGCTGATGGAGTCCCAGGGGGGAAGAGCACTAGCAATGGCCTGGAGTGGGTCTTGGCATTGGGCTTTTAAAAATATATATATATACATTTCATTATTATTATTATTATCATTTTATGATACAGTTTCATAGGTTCCTGGTACCACCTCAATTCCCTCCTCACCACCTAGTTCTTCCATATCATTACTAAAGTATAGTTCTTCATACACAGTCATATATCCATCATTGCGGGCATGGACAATGGCAGAGAATCCAGAACCCTATTGTCAAGATATAGTAAACAGTTTCATTGTAAGTCCATCTTTGTCTGGAAGTAGAAACGCATACTGCATTGTATCCTCACATCTGGATGTTAGTCTACGTTTCACAGCTCCTGTGCACCCCCTCAAATGAAAGATCATAATACAAAATCAACAATAGAAAGAAAAATAGAAATTTACAATGCCATGAAGTTACATAACATGTTACTAGATATGACAGTCTCCATTACATAGCTACTATACATCCCCTTAAATGAAGAGCCACAAAACAAAATCAATATCACGAAGAAAAAAGAAATTAACAACACCAAGAAGTTAAATAAAATGCTACTAAATGACTAACATGTAGCTGAAGAAATGAAAATCAAGAACCTTCTTGAAGAAAATGATGCTACTCTATAATCTATGAGTCATTGAAAGATTTAATCAGAAGAAAGTGTTTTGAAGAGATGAAACTAACCAAAAACATCAAATCCCATGTGATATAGTTTCCGCTGATTTTTGTTGGTGAAGTGTGTCTCTTCTAGAAAACAAATAGATGAGTTTTGTCTTTTAATCCAGTCTGCTAATCTATGACGTTTGATTGAGCTTAAGCCATTTACTTTCAGAGTTTAATATGTATGGATAGCACTTTGGTCCTGTCATTTTAGGAAAGGGTTGTTCATTGGTTTAGTCTTCTGTTGTCATTTTACTGGAATGTTCTTCCCATTTGCCTTTGGTTTTGTTTGGTGCTATTCCTCTTCTCTGTCAAGAGAACATTTTGAAGTATCATTTGTAGGGCAGTTTTGGAAGAGGCAAATTCTTTTAACTTTACTGTGGAAGAATTTTATTTCATTTTCAAAGACAAAGGAAAGCTTTGCTGGATATGTTATCCTAGGCAGACAATTTTTGCTTTTAGAATCTGGAATATGTTACTCCATTCTCTTCTTGCCTGTAGAGTTTCATGTGAGAGATCTCCTGTGAGTTTAATTGGCATTCCTTTATATGTCAACTGGTTTTTTTCACATACACATTTAAGGATCTTTTCCTTATGTTCGATTGAAGAGAGCTTGATGATCATGTGTCTTGGTGAAGATCTCTTTTGGTCAAGCCTGTTGGGAGTTCTGTGCCCCTCCTGGCTGTTGTTTCCTAATTCTTTCTCTAGATTAGGGAAATTTTCCTTTATTATTTCATCAAATATATTTGTAAAACTAGTTTCTCTTTCTGTACCTTCTGGGACTCCCATGACTCTTATATTTGGCCTATTAATAGTCAATTTCAATTCTTGAATGCTTTTTTTTTTTTTTTTGCCCTATCCAGTTCTGCTTCCAGCTTTTTGTTTGCTTCTCCTTGATGACAGGAAATATCTTCCGATTCTGAGATTCTTTCTTCTGCTTGCTTCATTCTACTTTGGAGACTCTCCACTGTACTTTTAATTTGCTCTACTGTGTTCTTAAATATCTGATATATCAGCCTTGATTTGCTTTATTGCTTCCTTAAATTCTTTGAACTCTTGTATGTGCTTCTCATTGTTGATCAGAAGCTTTAAAATGAGTAAACACCATCTTGATTCTCCCGGCATTGGGCTTCGTAGCTGGGAGGTTTTTATACTGTGTGGCTGCCTCACCCCTGCTCCCCCATCCTCTCTCCCAGACTCTTCTCATCTGTCACTTGGTGGAGATGTCCATCTCCTGAACTAGCAGGAGAGTGAACTGAGACAAAGGACATGTCTACCTAGTGCCAAAGCACCCAGGTATATGTAGATAAGAGCCTGAACAGGACAATCCTCCCCAGAGATCCAATGCTGTGGGCAGATCCCCTCCCAGTGAGGCCTTAGCCACAGGTGAACTCACGCTGTAAATGGGCGACATGGAGTGCAGGCATCGTGAAGAAGACATCGGCCATCATCTCCTGGAACTGAGCCATGAGGGTCTTGGGATTCTCATTGTCCCCTAGGTACTGGTCCACCAGCTGATCCCCTATGCCTGCAGGCAACATCTAGCCCAAGGGATAGGGACACAGTCAGCACTGCTTGCTGCCAGGGAGAGAGGCAACTGAGAAAGGTCCCTGATAAAGACAGGGAATGACAAAACCAGGACCAGGGACACCCATCCCAAACACAAGCAATGGCAGTTGTGCCTCTGTTCCATGAGTCCATGGGACCATGAGCTGTTAGATTACAGAGCTGTTGGGCAGGACCCCTGGAAACTCACCCACTTCTCAGATGACTGATGTATTAATGTCTCCATGGCTGCTCTGTCGATTTCATCCAAGGGGTCTTTGGCATTAAAGAACTGGTGGGTGAACAGAGGAACTTGGGTTGGTGGTAGTGGGTTTGGCGCTCTGACACCCTGAGGCCTACCTGCAAAATGAACTCCAGAGGACCTCACCCTGAGCTCACCTTGAGGAGGAGCCAACCATATTCATCATTGTTGACACCAATGATGCTGGGGACGGGTTGGAAGTCAGCAGAGGTCAACAGCTCATAGGGATGTCTGGGCAGGAAGATGCCATCCACCACTGCAGAGATGATCTTGAAGGGCTGAGGTATCCAGGACAAGGATATGGTTAGTGGACCAGATATTGTTTGATCCATTTCCCCTCACCTAGCTAATCTGAGCAAGCTCACGCCCCACTACGTGGGATAAAATCCCTGACGTACACAACAGGGTGTACCTGACAACTGAGGGCTGGGAAGACAAGAAAGCTTGGACATGACCTGGTAGCCCAGGAACTTCGAAGGGCATCAGAGCTGATCACCCATTTGTACCAGTGAAGGGGGTCCTACCTTGGTTATCTCCAGCATCTCTTCTTCACTCTTGGCCCGCAAGCAGCCTACTAGGGTCTCAGAGTCCACCTGGCCACAGCCAGACAGGTTGGCCACCACCTGAGAAGGGAGCACATGGGTGCTGGACCTCCACACAGGAGAAAAAGGAGGCTGTCTGAGACCCAGCAGGAGGCAGGAGCAGTCTTGTGGACCAATGGCTGTGGCCTAGATGCACACTAGTCTTTTCTCTCTGACTTGGAGAGTCTCGGCCTCAATGATCTGCACCTGCTTAGCAGGGTGCAGAGAAGTAAGCTCTCAGAAGGGCACTTTTGCAGGACCCAGATTGTGTCACAGTCTACAGAGGTATAATTATTAGGGTTATGATGTCTGATCCCCTTAGCCATCCTTGGGGTGGGGAGTGCCAAGGCACCTGAGGGTCCACGTGTGCCCACTCAACAGATAGTAGAAGAAGCCTTGAGACAGAAAACTGCAGCTATGGGCCAAGACTGCGCCAATGGGGATACTCACTGTGGATATCATCTCGGATGAGCTGGAGATGAGGCCTGGCATCACAGCCACCCCACTCTGCATGATGGCTCCATGGAAGAGTCCTTGCGACATGGGTGACAGCACATGTGAGGACACACTTGTGCCACCTGCTGATACACCAAATATGGTGACCTGGTCAGGGTTGCCTCCAAAACTGGCAATGTTCTGCTGTACCCAGCGCAGTGCAGCCACTTGGTCCAGGTAGCCCCAGTTGCCGCTGGCATGCTGGTCTCCAGTGCTGAGAAAACAGAGACAGGGATGGCAGGGCAGACCCCGGGCTGTTCCTCCCTCAGTGCTTGGCCCAGGCCCAGGCTCACCTGAAGAATCCCAGGACGCCCAGGCGGTACTGGATGGTGACCACCACCACATCCTCAAAGGCTGCCAGGGTGGAACCATCGAACAAGGAAGCCATGCCTGCAACCAGCGCTCCCCCATGGATCCACACCATCACCTGGGGAACTCAAAGACATACCATGAGACTCCATAAACCTGAGCCATGCTGCTCTGTGAGGACACAATTCTGCTTGGCCCACTATGACCCACACATTCTGACCTCCAGGAGCAACTGGGCATCTAGGAGCCCATGCCCAGTACTTAGGTATCCACCCAGGGGATAGAGGCACTTCCTGGACCACTAGGGTGCATCATCTCACCTGAATCCATAGCATGGGAGGCCACAGTCAAATTGTCCTTTCCATCCCAACCCTAGCTGCCCCTGATCTTCTACTCACAGGCAGTTTGGAGCCCTCACGGGCATGGGCAGGTGCGTAGATGCTGAGGTACAGGCAGTCCTCAGACATGGGGAAGGACAGCAAGAACAATGTCATATTCAGAGCATCATCATCCATTATTGCAGGGTTCTGTGGACACCTAGGACCACCCAATGCAGATGTTAGTGTGGAATCCACGCATGGGCCCAAGACAGAGCCTGGGCCCAGACTTGCCCCAGACCCTATCCATCTCCTCCCTCCCTGTATCCTTGTTCACTCATGAACAAGGTGATGTAATGTCCCTTCTTTCGTGGATACTGATCTGAGACGATGGAAGAAGCTGGGGTGACATTGACTTCCAGGGATCCTCTAGGCAGGTGGAGGCTGAGATAGCACACCTGACTCTCAGAGTCTGTGTGGGAAATCTGGTTTGCAGGTGCTGACCTCAGTGCTGACTCTCCGCAAAGTCAGGCCCGGAGCATGGAGTGTTCCATGGTTGGTGTGTAGATGCCTATCCCTTCCCCAGGGAAGACAGTGAGATGGCCCATATCCTGGCCATTATCATTCCTGCACATTCTTCTACAGGTGTGTATACCTGTCCATTTGCCAATGTGTTTGGCCTGTGGGTTAGCTCATTGCTGTTCCAGCCTCCACTGGTGCCCATCTCAGTGACCACAGAATCTACTGATGCAATCAGGTACTCCTATATGTTTGGGAGAGCCAACCTGGGAAGCTCATCCAGAACAGCGCCCCTTCATCAGGCAGCACAGGAATGTGGCAGAAGCTGAAATGGGGAGCTGAGTGTCTGCCTCCATCTTCAGCACCTAGATCTAAAGGCTTTAGAGTCTCAAGTCCTGAGTCAAGAGCCTGGCAGGAGCCTTGGCAAGACCCAATGGAAGTGTTCCATGGGAGTCCATAGCACACTAAGCTTGTCAGCTGTGAGCTGAGGATGAAAGGGCAGCTGGGCCTGGCCTAGCACTCAGATGCTTCATACCCACCCCCAGAACTGAAACTCCCTGGCACCCTGGGAGAGCTCACATGGCTGGATGTGAGGTGCCATCCCTCACTCCACTCCAAGCTTCAGCAGGTTCAGGAGGTGCAAAGCGCAGTGGTCCCAGAGGTGGCTTGGCAAAGGGAATGCCCAGGAAAGTGTGGACGCCCACATCGGTGCCCTCCACGTGGACCAAGCTTCCTCGCACCTGCCCAGAATGTGTGGTCCTGATGGGGCTGTCAGAGTCCTGGCCTGTGGGTAGAGAGATATGATCAGAGAGAGCTGCTTGTCAGCTGCTTTGCCAGGAGCTTGCCTCTTTGTTTTTTTAGCCTAACTTTGTCCAGGACCCGGGCTCACACACACTCACTGGGTGGGCCTTCTTGATTCCATCCTAATGACATGATCAGAACAACTCATCCTAGTGACCATAAGCCCATGTAGACTTCTGGAGCCAGGGCCGGGGTTGAAATGAATAGGAAGGAGAACTGAGGTGAACACCTCTGTGAATGCCAAAGGAAGTCCTGGACATAGGAGCAGTGCACATCGTGTGTGAGGCCCTGGGAACCAGAATGGTCCCTGGGGAGGGAACCCTAGCATGAGTGGGATGGGAGGCCACTGTACAGGACAGCTTTTCCCACTCACGGTTTTCAATCACTCCCTGTTTGTGGCTTCACCAATCAGAGTCAACTCCCAAAACAGAAAGTTAGGACAATATACAATGTTTGTACTTTGTGTTCACAGACTGCTTTCTGGTCATATTCCCTACACCAGTGTGCCAAATTTTCCCATTGCATTGCCATTGTCAGGCATCTGGGCCAATATGTTGCCACCTTGCACAAAGCAGTTGAGCATACTCAGCTTTCTGGAACAAGTGTAGAGACTGCTGGATGTCCACCCTAGTGGCAAGCTATGTCATAGACACCTAACTTGCAAAATTAGTGACTGTATTATTTGTGTGGCTTGGCAAAGGAGGTAAGAGTTTTTTCTTCCCATTCCCCTTCACTCTGGCTCAGGAAAGGGGCTGTAACACATACACAGAAACAGAAGCTGGAGCTCAGAAGCTTTAGGTAATGTTCTGGCATTTTTTTTTACCTGAGCTATGAATATGCAGATTTGGTCCTAGATTTTTTTTTTCATCTGTGCATGCGCACACACATACACATTGCATCATTTCATTGTTATACAAGGAGGTTTGCTTGTCTTGAGTGATCCATCTCTCTTTGTTATTTTTGAAGATTTATCTGTGAAATAGTCATAATTCCAGAGTGGAGGACACACGTACACAGGGGAACGCAAAAATGATGAAAGAGTAACTTCCATTTGTTGGTTCCCCCCCGCCCTGCAAAGGACCACAACAGCTGTGGCTGGCCAGGCTACAGCCAGGAAGCTTAAACTCCATCTGGGTGTCCCACGTGGGTGGCAGGGGCCCAAACACTGGGACCATTTTCTGCTGCTTTCATGGATGTGTTAACAGTGAGCTGTACAGGAAATGCAGCAGCCAGTACTCAAACATACTCTCAGATGGGATGCTGGCCCCACAAGGGCAGCTTAACCTTCTGTACTTTAACACTGATCTCTGTTCCTTCTTTTTTTAAGGATTTTTTTAAATTGGAAAGTCAGATATACACAGAGAAGGAGAAAGAACGAGGAAGATCTTTCATCCACTGATTGACTCCCCAAGTGGCAGCAGCGGCTGGAGCTGAGCTGAGCTGATCTGAAACCAGAGCCTTGAGAGCTTTCCTGGTCTCACATGTGTGTGCAGGGTTCCAAGGCTTTGGGCCGTCTTTTACTGCTTTCTCAGGCCACAAGCAGGGAACTGGATGGGAAGCAGGGCCGCTGAGACACAAACTAGCGCCCATATGGGATCCAGGCGTGTGCAAAGCAAGGACCTTAGCCATTAGGCTACCATGCCAGGCCCTCTCCATTCCTTCTTGAAAGAAGAATTTCCAGGAGTAGATAAACATCTACATGCTCATCATAATAGGGCCAAGAAAGTGATTTTGTGTTGTTTTCAGAGGAGTGGAAGTGGGATCCTATGAGGAGCACTTGGGCTTTCTTATAAAATTAGGAGACTCTGCCCACATCCAGAGACAAGTTCTATTATTTCTGAACATAGAATCAACATGAAATATTGTTGGAGCCCTGGAGCCAGGGCTGTGGCTACCTCTCCCTACTTCCATGGATCTGTCTTTCAGGTAAGTAAGCCCTGAAAGAAATGGATACATAATTGACTAACAGAGCATCTGGAAGAAAATTCTCCATCCAGAAAGGTCTGGGTCACCTTGGAGAGTGGCGGTAAGGCCAGGTAAGGGTAGAATTTCAGTAAAGGGGATCAGGACAGGTGAGGCAGGGGACAGGGTGAGGCAGGGGGCAGGGTGAGCGTGAATCTCCTTTGGCAGATTAGATTGGGAAAGGGTGGAGGAGGAGGCCTTTAGACCCAGAGCACCAAGGGTCAAAACACACCCAGGCCTGGTGCCGACATAGGCAGAACTTCTGATAAAAGACCCAAGAGTACTGGCAGGCAGAGGGCACTGCCAGCTTTGCCCCGAACACAAGCCAATGGAGGGCTAGCAGCATGGTGTTGTAGGCTAAGCTTCTCCCTGTCGTGCCATTCTATCCAGCTGCCACTCTTGTCATCAAGCTCGACACTAATGTGCCTAAGAAAAGAGCATCTGGGGCCCGGCGCGGTGGCGCAAGTGGTTAGGTCCTCGCCTTGCACGCCCGGGATCCCATATGGGCGCCGGTTCTAATCCCGGCAGCCCCGCTTCCCTTCCAGCTCCCTGCCTGTGGCCCGGGAAAGCAGTCGAGGACGGCCCAAAGCTTTGGGACCCTGCACCCGCGTGGGAGACCCGGAAGAGGCTCCTGGCTTCGGACCCTCGGAGGAGGCTCCTGGCTTCGGATCGGCATAGTATCGGCCCGTTGCGGCTCACTTGGGGAGTGAATCATCGGACGGAAGATCTTCCTCTCTGTCTCTCCTCTCTGTATATCCGCCTTTCCAATAAAAAAATAATAAAAATAAATCTTTAAAAAAAAAAAAAAAAAAAAAAAAAAAAAAAAAAAAAAAAAAAAAGAAAAGAGCATCTGGTGGCTCAAGTTCTTGGGACCCTGAACCCACCTGGGGGGTGGCTCTAGGCTCCAGTTAGTCTTGGCCCCCTCCCTTTGGCCATTTAAGGAGTGGACCGCAGACTGCAAGATTTCCTCCCCTGTTTTTCTAAATGTGCCTAAATAAATAAATAGAGCCTTTACACCTAGGAAAGGTGCATGGGCTGGGAAACACTGTGGTCCCTCAGACCAGAGGCAGGCCAATGATCCCTGAGCTCCCAGGACCATTGACCTTACCCAGGGTATCTCAGAGATGGCTGGGGGTCTCTGGCCAAGAGCAGCCAACTGAGAATCAACCCGCAGTGGGAGGAGCCCTAACTGCGTGTTCACAGCATGTGCAGGCAGCACTTAAAGGCAGCAATCAGGTCAGCCACAAATACAGGCAGCAGGAAACACCCCCAGCCCCTCCTTCACAAGCTGCCCACCCCCTTGAGACCCTTGCTGTTCCCCGCCCTTCTTACTGGCTCAGATCCCTGGAAGCCATGATCCTCTTCCAGCCTCTGAGCACACAGGGGCACAAGAAGACAGTCTCATTACCATCCACCCTCACCTTTTGCCCCCCACCAGCCCACATGCTCTTCAGCTGGAACTACCAATCTGATCCGGGTCCCTGTGGACACCCACAGAGTCTTACCTTGGGCCAGGGTGAGGAGCAGCAGGAGGCCACAGGGAACAATACCAAGCCAGGTGCACAGCTGGTGTTGTCCCATGGTTCCAGGTAGGTTCGCTTGTGTGTCACCACTGTGTGCTGGACTGTGTGCTCTGGGGGCAAAATAGGGCAACTCCCAAGCTGAATTTTGGCCTGGGCAGGGAATGGGCAGGGTGACTATCACGGGGCGGGGTTTGAGGTTTAAAAGGAACTGGCTAACCCAGCAAAAATCAGGTGCAGACCCAAAAGCCAGCAAATGTGGACACGGCCACCACACTGTGCCTGTCCCTGCTTGCTCTGTAAGATCCTCCCGTCAGTCCTGGAGCCACTGAGCTCACTGTCCTCACAGAGAGGAGGGAGCGAAAGGCTGGCTTTGGAAAAGCCAGGAAGCCTTCACAGCACAGGTGTGAGAATCCCCAGAGAGGGAATGGGATGATCTGTGGGAGGTGTGATTGTCCCTGAGCACTTTGAGCTCCTCCCTGGCTCAGGACTCAGTTTGTCCCTGTTTATTCATTCCCCACCCAAACCTGATCATGTCTCCTCTTTTTAACATATTTCATCATTTATTTACTTGGATATCAGAAGGAGAGTCTCCAGATGACTGCAGAGGTTAGGCCTGTGCCAGGGCAAGGCCAGCATCTGGAAGATTAACCCATATGCCATGGATCTGCATCTACCATGTGATCCACACTCCTGGCACTGGGCAGCATCCAAAAGAAACCTGCGCTGCAGTGTTTATTCTAGAACCACCGACTGTAGGTGGGCTCACTCACCGATGAATATGGAAGGGGTTCTGGCATAGACACACCGTAGAGTGTTATTCACTTATCAAAACAAAATTCTCTCATTGTGGCATCATGGTTACATGCAAGACTTCATGCTGAGTGAAAGAAGTCAGCCATAGGCAGAAAAACAATACATTCACACTCATTTTACATATTTGTATAAGATTTATTTTTTTTTATTTATTTGAAAGGCAGAGTTACAGAGAGAAGGAGAGAGACAGAGAAATCTTCCATGTGTTGATGTGCAACAGAGTGGCTACAACAGGTATGGCTGTGTCAGTTCAAAGTCAGGACCCCTACATGAATGCAGGGACCCAAGCTCTTTGATCGACATTTGCTACTTTCCCAGGTGCATTAGCAGGAATCTGGATTAGAGGTGGAGCAGCCAGGGCTTCACCTGGTATGCACCATAGGATGCTGGTTTCACAAACACTGTTTTAACTCACTATGCCACAATGCTGGGCCTGCACTCACTTTTAGAAATTATCCAAATTGATGCCAGAGAAGTAGAGAGAATAATTGTGGTTAGTAAAGAGTAAAAAATGTAAGAGGGGACAACCACATAGTGATTGGATAATTGTTGCAAAAGTACATATAAGTGTGATGGTTCTAGTGTTCTAGACTGTTGAGGGTACCTAACGTTGAATGTATAATTAGATCTTAAAACAGCTCTCTGACAAGAATTCAGAGGGGCTAAGAAAAGTGTTCATTGTTCAGCTTTGACCTTGGAACACGGTAATTATGTTCACAGGGTAGTAAGTACCGCAGCACACATCTGTTGAATGGAAGACAAAAAGGATGAACGGACGGCCACATGAATAAAGGATCCAGCCAACAACTCTTAAGTGGGTATGAGTGAGTACTGGGTTGTGGGTCTGACATGTGTCTCTGATGTGGTAGTTACAATTACACATGCTCGGGCTCAGCTCCCACTAGCCCCTGGATCTTCTGGGTCAGATACCTGGTCCAGAAACTGTCCCTTGCTCAAGGAGGCACAATCGGGGAGAGGCTGTATTACCTATGCCCTCAACACTGCTGGTGCAGTCCCCTCTCCAGGACATATTTTGTCACATGAAGAAATACAACCAACCAACATCACAAATTTCTTATTGAGAGTACACACACACACTGTGTAGCAGCCTTACCAACAATGGAAGCTGAAACCGAAAACAAGAAGCTGAAGAAGCTCTAGAATAGAGCACACTGGAGCAGAGCAATGATTCCTAGATACCACCAAGGGCAGCATCAGCAGAACCCACCAGGTGCCATCCTCCTCAGAGAAAACCAGAAGTCCAATGGATTCTTCAATAACCAGCACAGTATAAGAAAATGAAAAGAGAGGCAAAGGCAGGAGAGGGCATAAAGAGCGAAAGAGACTCTAAACATAATGACAATGACAACAAACATTACCAGGTTGTCAACAATGTAGGTAGAATGTAAGACAATTGGAGGCTTTGTACAGTGCAGGTGGAAAGGGAATACAGTCTAATTGCTCTGGAAGCCAACAGTACAACTCTTGGAGTCATTACAGGTGTTGTTATCATAAGAATAGCAGTTGTAATCCTAGATATGAGCCACTCCAGAACTGAAAGCACAGTGCAGATGCACCCTTCAGTGAAGGTGCTGCTTGGGCAGCCAGTGTCCCCCAGCACAGTGTCTGTGTCCGAGTTACAGCTCTGCTCTGGGATTTTATACTCTAGGAGGTTGCTGGAGGTGGTGGGAGATGGTGATGGCTCAGTGTTAGAATCCCTGTGACACATGTGGGAGATTCAGCATCCAGCGAGTCAACCCACTGGGCTGACTAAACACAGGCAGAAAAAATGGCCTCTGTGGACAGGTGCTGACCCTATACCTAGGGTGCAAAAGGAAGTAAAACAATATTACACGCTTGTTAGAAATAGGTGAGCTGGAGCTGAGTGAGATCACATGGAGGACAAGGACAGCTTCTGCACAGGTGCTGCTGGTAACTAGGATGGCAGCATCTGCAGAGTCAGCATGGTGATGCTGGACTCCCGGAATACCCAGGGACACTTGTCCTTTCTGAGAGAGAAACCAGTCCCACACATGGTTTTAATGGGAATCACCCAGTGTGGGGCTGATCCTTCTGTCTAGAATGTCCTAGTCTCTTGGGAGAGACCAAACAAAGGCAAGGAGGGAGGGAGCCTGCCAGATGAGCCCCAGAAGAAGCAGGAGTGTGGACTGCTGTTGGCACGTTAGATTGGGAAAGTACAGAGAAAGAATCCTGGCACTTTGGTTATTTTTGTATTTCCTTACAAATCTAATTATTTTTGAAAAGCAGAGTTATAGAAAGAGTGAGAAACAGCAAGTCCATATGCTGGTTCCTCTCCAAACAGCCCCAATAGCCAAGGCTGGGCCAGTCCTAAGCTAGAAGCTTGGAACTCCATCTGTGTCTTCCCCATGGGTGCCTGAGCCCAAGCACTGGAGACATCTTCTGCTGCTTTCCCAGGTGCATTAGCAGAGAGAGAAGGATTGGAGTAGAGCAGGCTGACCTGGAATGTGCACCCATGTGGGGAGCAGTGTTCCAAGTTATGATTTAACCTGGTGCTCTAACAGGCTGGCTTCAGTCCTGGGCCCCCTGATGAGTACATAAAAGATCAAGGACACACCTCAGGAGCCTGTCACGCAAGCCTGAGCTTTTGATAACAAAGCCAGGCATGTAAGGCACCAACACCTGCACTATGGAGGGTGGACCTGCCAATACCTGCTGCTCAGTGCCTGGGGTGACAGGCGCTCCTGGCATCTCAGAAGGGCCCTAGGATTGGCACCAAAGCTTGTGCAGTTCCCAGATCTAGTTACCTGGCAAGGTATCACTAGATGAGAAGTGGGGTCAGAAAGGCAGGTACAATACTATGCTTTGATCAGCAGCATTAGCCCAGCAGAAGCAGAGGAAGAAGTGGTGTGAAATCCTGTCCTTGCAGCTGTCGCAAGACACACCCTGGCCAGCTCCACTCAGATCCTCCTGCTGGACTCACTTTTTGCCTCTTCCACCCTGGATACACAAGCACCTCGCTTTCACCGCCTCCAGTTCCCATTGCTTCCAGGCACCAGCCCTCCACCTACTGGGACCTACTAGATTGGTCCTTGTGGCCACCCATGGGAGCCACACCCCGGCCCGGGACAAGGAGCAGCAACAATTCACAGGCCACGATGTCCAGCTGATGCCCAGCTGATGCCCAGCTGGTGTGACCCCATGTTCTAAGGCATGTGCACATGTGTGAAGCCCCTGTGAGACCAAGAAGCTGCCCCAGGAGTTCCACAGGAGGAGAAGGGAGTAGCACAGGATAGACATCAGCCTGGATGGGAGCAGGTGAGGTTGCTGCCAGGGTGGGACAAGGGGATCACACACAAGAGCAGGGCTGAGTTCAGCAACACACCAGGACCCTCTCCAATCCCAGAGTCATGGACAACTTCAGTGTCTAGTTAGACTACAAGCAGCCATGTGCATGGAAATGCAGAAGGCCTTTAGCGAGGAGGCATGAGGCTAAAATTCCCACAGAGAACTGGGCCCTGGGTTTTCTGCTGGGTGTCATGGAGGCCTCTGAGCTAAGGCTGGGAGGTGCGACTTCTCCACTTCTGAAAGCTTCAGATTCCACACAGCTGCTCCTTGGGTTCCCACACACTTTCCCTGAGAGCCTCCGCCCTCCCCTCCCTAATCCTCCTGGCCCTTCCCTGCCCTGGTGCTGGTGGAACCCATTGTTTCCCATGTCCCACCTCATTCTGACATCAGTTATTTTCTCCCCTTGACAAAGAAGCCTACTGATCATGCCAATTAGTGGAGCTCAACAGACAAAGCTGAACTGGGAGCCCTGCCCCGTGAGTCCATCCTTTCCCCAGTCATTCTGTTTAACCCGCCATGACCAGATGCAAAAGTGCCTCATCAAGATCAGGAAGCAGACGCTTTTGAGGTCCAGGAGAAGTGTAGCTCAATGTGGAGAGTTGTACAACCCCCAGCAAGCGTCCCTAAGTGCAGGTCCCTGCCTGCTTGTTTATTCAACTGAGGCACCACCCTTTCCTCATGAATAAGAATATAAGATGGGAACAAGAGGGACAGCCAGGAATAGAATCAGGACTTTACACTTCAGCACTGGTCCCAACAAATATATTTAAAATGTACTCAATATCAGTAATTAATACAGCTATTCTAATAAAAGAGAAAACTTGTCAATACTGGCAGGGAAATGGGGAATAGAGGACACTTCTAAGCTGTGAAATGGAATGTGATAAGGTAGAGACCTCATGGGAAACTCTGTGAAAGGTCCTCCAAAGCTGAATTTGGGGCCAGCATTGTGGTGTAGTGGGCAAAACATGGGCTGCAACACGGACTTCTGATGGGTGTTGGTCCTGTCCTTGAAGTTCACCTTCAAAACCATCTTCAGAGAAAAGCAACATGAGATAGTCCAAGTATTTTGAACCTTGGCACCCAAGGGGAAACTGGATTAAGCTCCTAGCTTTGTTGTGGCCCATATATGGCTGATGAAGATAACTCGAGTATGAACCTGTATATGAAAGGTTCTCTATCTGTATATATAAAACTCTGATCTTCAAATCAAGACACAAAGTTTCTTAAAGAGTAAAATTAAAACTACCATAATATGAATAATTCCTGTTTCTGGGTATAAATCTTAAAAGATGAACATAAAAGCAGTAAAAGGTATACCTGCAGTGAGTGCACTGAATGTTCTGATATCTGAGCCCTACAAAATGTCAGGTGCATGAGTGTATGGCATGGTTACCCGGATTAGTATTTCACAGCAGTAAGGAATGGGAGCCTTTATTTGTGGCAACACAGAGGGAGCAAGAGGGGCCACTCATGGCAGCCTGAGGGCACCAGGACACGGTAGCTTCCAGTGCTCAGCTTCTCTAAAAGCCATTTAAAGACATGAGCTCACACGGTATGCTGGGAGGAGGTGAAGGGCTTCTGACACTCAGGGTTAAACAACAACCCCCAAACAAGCTACCAACTATTTCCCAGGGCTTGGGGCTAAGAGATAGAAGAAACAGAGTAGAGTGAGGAAGAGGTGAGGCAAGCAGAAAGGACCCAGTGTCAGTGGGTGATGAGGAAGGTGGACATCTGTAGGCAATGATGGGCACAGTTTCATGGGGGTTGGTGAGTGCATTTAGCACAGGACACTCAGGGCAGGCTGGGCAGGTGGCCCAGGCAACAGGTCCTCCACAAGGGTTTGGTGGGGGCAGGCTGGGCAGGTGAGTGATGGCCGTGGCTGGGGTCAGGGTCACCCATCTAGACACAGGCAGCTACAGCTCCACGTGCTTCTGCTCAGCCCACATCAGCTCTTGCATCTTCTTGGGCAGGGTCTGGGCCCAGAAGTGGCGCCTGTGGGCCTTCAGGGCCTGGCCCACTGCAGGCTGCACCTTCAGCTGCAGGTACTGCTCCTCTTGGTCCAAGACGGGCCAATGCAGCAGGCCCTCGCCATTGGGGTTCCTGCAGATGAGAGGTCAGGGAGGGGATGGTGGGACCTCTGAGGCCTTAACGAGGAGACCTGAGTGCCCTAAAAACAGCTAAGCTTACCATGCAGGTAAAGAGAGGTGAGGGATGGTTTGGAGGTGCAAGAGAGCTGCAACCCCCCTCTGATGTCAACTCCAAATCAGGACCTGACCACCAGGATTGTGGTGTCCCTCTCTCCCAAGGGAAGACTTTGAGAATAACAGTTCTTAGCCAAAACCAGAACACAGGGTGGGGATAGATGGAGAGAATGCCTGTGGTCCCCAGTAACCCTGTGTGTGCCAGTGAATCATGCTACTGGGGAGGGCACTGTCACATGACTAAGGACACTTGGCTGTTGCTAAAGTCTTCACAGGCAAGGTTCCCCTCACCCTGGGGAGATGGGGTAGAGTGGAGTGTCTCACCCGGTGCGAGCAAAGTTGGCCCAGTACTTCATCATCCTCCTGCTCAGCAGCTCCTCCTCCTCAGTGAGAGTCACTGCAGCGGGGAAGGACACAGGGTCAGCTCAGGCAGATGCAGGCCTGCTGTCCCACCGTGATCACACTTGCCAGCTCAGGCCCATAACCCCACCATGACCACACATGCCAGCCTAGGCCCACTGCCCACCATGACTACACGCATCAGCTCAGTGGGGCTTCACACTTGGTTTCTAGCTTGCAGCTTGCTTTCTCCTGAGTACACATTCCTGGTTTTTCCTTTTCCTATCTAAACCTGGTGTCAGGTTCACCTGCCACTGGCCTCTTACTGGCCCAGTAGATTTCAGCCTTCTAATGGACAGATACAGTGGCCAGGCAGAGGAGCACCCACAGTGCGGTTCTGGCTCAGCCCTGGGAGCTATGAGACTTGGAGTGCTTGATCCCGTCTGAACCTCAGCACTGTCATCCAAACACTGGGCACAGTGCACCCTCAGAAACATCAAGTGCTGCATCCTCATACTGCAAGGGAGGAAGCCTCACCTTTTGTGCCAGAGAAAGTGGATCTGAAGAGAAAGGGAAGCTCATCGCCATGGTCAGCCCTCACATGGTGTGGCCGGAAGTCCTTCATGAAACTGGGTGAATGCTGGAACTCATAGAAGTAGACGGGGGCGTGGGAACCTGGGTAACAAGTGCACAGGGTGACAAGTGGAGGCCCCTTCCACAAGTTTCCTACACTACCCAAGAGGAAAGCAGAGTGATGCCCACTGGTGTGACCCGGGGAGTGCTGATGGGGTCCCAGGTGAGAACAACAGTGGCAAAGGCCTGGGTTAGGTCTTGGTCGTGCACTTTGCAGCTGGGAGGTATTGACACAGTGGAGATAACTCAGTCCTGCTCCCACCCTGTCTCTTTTCCTGTCTGCTGTTTGAAATGTTCATCTCCTAAACTAGCAGGAGAGTGAACTGAGACAAAGGATATGTCTACCTGGTGACAAGAAACCCAGCCATCTGTAGCTAGGAGCCTTGACAGGACACACCTCAGACCCAAAGGTGTGGGCAGAGCCCTGGCCAATGAGACCTTAGTCATGGGTGAACTCACGCTGAAAATGGGCGACATGGAGTGCTGGCATCACGTAGAGGGCATCAGCCATCATCTCCTGGAACTGAGCCATGAGGGTCTTTGGGTCCTCATTGTCACCAAGGTATTCGTCCACCAACTGTTGCCCTATCCTTGGAGGCAGCATCTGGCCCAAGGGATAGGGACACAGTCAGGGCCACTTGCTGCCAGGGAAAGAGGCAGCTGAGAAAGGTCTAGAATAAAGACAGGGAATGGGACAATGCAGCAGTATTGGGGCCAGCTCATTCCCAGGCACACACTGTCAGCTGTGTATCAGCTCTGGGAGTTCCCGTGGGATTTGCAGGAGAGATCCCCAGGGCCTCACCCATTGCTCAGATGTATGATGTATTAGAGCCTCCATGGCCTCTCTGTGGATTTCATTCCTAGTGTCTCTGGCAGAGAACAACTGCGGATTAAGCAGTGAGTCTCAGGTTAGGGGTGGAAGACAGGAAGCTCTGACACTATGAGGCCTGACGATGAATCAGGCTCCTGGGGAACCTGGCCTGGACTCACCTTGGGGAGGATCCAGCCGTACTCATCATTGTTGACACCAATGATGCTGGGGACCGGTTGGAAGTCCGCAGAGGCCAGCAGCTCATAGGGGTGTCTGGGCAGGAAGACGCCATCAACAACCCCAGAGATAGTCATGAAGGTCTGGGGTATCCAGGGCCAGAGAAAAGGTTCAGACATTTTCATGCCCTTGAGGTTCTACCCTAACCCAGGCTTATCCCAGGGGGTTCTCAAGCAAACTCCCAACCCGTGAGCATCCTATGTCTGCCTTATAGGACTGTGTCACCTAACCCATCAAGGGCTGGGAGGGCAGGAAGAGGTGGGCATGAGCTGATAGTCTAAGGACTGTGAAGGGCTGTAGAACCTATCACTCCTTTGTCACAGTGAATGGGTTCCCACCTTGGTCATCTCCAGCATCTCCTCTTCACTCTTGGCCCGCAAGCAGCCCACCAGGGTCTCAGAGTCCACCTGGCCACAGCCAGACAGGTTGGCCACCACCTGGGAAAGGAGCACATGGGAGACCCATGCAGGAGAGAAAGGAGGGTGTCGGAGGCCCAGAAGGAGGCAGGAGCAGAGTTTTGTGGATGCATAGCTGTGGCCTGGATGCACACTAGTCTTCCCTCTCTGACATGGAGAATCTCAGCCCCAGTGAGCTATGCCTGCTTAGCTGGCTACAGACAAGGTGGACTCGGAGTGCCACTTTTCAGGGCCCAGAACTGTGTCAGATTCTCCTGAGGCACAGACACGTGGGTTGTGTCCCCTGAGCCCATCAGCCATCTCAAGTGGGCAATGCTGAGTCACCTGATGGTGCATGCATCAGTACAAAAGAGACAGTAGCAGAGGCCCTGCGAAGGAAGCTGGCAGCTACAGGTCAAGGCTGCACAGTGGAGAACACTTACCTTGGAGATTGGCACAGATGAGCTGGCGATGAGGCCAGGCCTCACGGCTACCCCACTCTCCATGATGGCTCCATGGAAGAGCCCTTGCGACATGGGTGATAGCACATGCGAGGACACACTCCTTCCCCCTGCAGACTCGCCAAATATGGTGACCCGGTCAGGGTTGCCTCCAAAGTGGGCAATGTTTTTCTGCACCCAGCGCAGTGCGGCCACTTGGTCCAGGTAGCCCCAGTTGCCACTGGCATGCTGGTCTCCAGTGCTGAGAAGTGTCAGTGACAGGGATGACAACGCTATTTCAGGGCTGCTCCTTCCTCAGTGCCCGGCCCAGGCCCAGGCTTACCTGAAGAATCCCAGGATGCCCAGGCGGTACTGGATGGTGACCACCACTACATCCTCAAAGGCTGCCAGAGTGGAGCCATCATATGCAGAAGCCATGCCTACAACCAATGCACCTCCATGGATCCATACCATTACCTAGAAAATCAAAAGTGATACCATGAGTCTACTTTCAGCCTGAACCCACTAGGCTACCACCTCCCTAACCCATGCTTTACTCCTAGGTGAGACTTCAGGAACCCGGGCACAAGCCTGGGACCCAGTTATAACCAGGCAGCCTAGGCCTGTCTTTTGGGGTCCCTCCCATGCCATGATCAGTGTTTGGTTCTATCAACAGAGGCACCCACTGTTGGGTGGCAACTAACTAAAGTGCTGTCTCTGATCATTAACATGGATGCTCAACAGAGTGGCCTCCCTTTCCATGGGCTGTCTATTGTGACAGGTGCAGCCCTTCATCAGTTGTTGTAGCTCTGTAACAGGAGGGTGCTGCAGGTGTCCTCAGCCCACTAGGGAACATGCATTTTGACCTCTCACAGCGACCAGGTTCCTGAGAACCCATGCCCAGTGCTCATTTGCCCAACCCGGGAACACAGGCACTTTCTGGACCCATCAGGGAGTGGTCTCCCACCAGGATCCACAGAACGGGAGGACAACGTTACCGCATTCCTCCCCAACCTCCAGTCGCTAGTGGAGGGGACTGTGTCCTCCCACCCCCAGCTGCCCCTTGCCTCCCACTCACAGGCAGCTTGGAGTCCTCATAGGCATGGGAAGGCACATAGATGTTAAGGTACAGGCAGTCCTCAGACATGGGGATGGATAGCAGGGACATTGTCATATTCAGAGCATCATCACCCATTATTGCAAGGTTCTGTGGACACCTAGGACCAGGCAAGGCAGATATTAGTGCAGAATCCATACAGGGACACAAGTCAGATTTGATCTTGATCCTTACTGTCCCTTCCCATTGCACCTCTGCTAAATCATTTGCCTGACCTAATGTCCCTTCCAATCCAGATGTAAGTGTAAGACTCAGAGGAAACTGGTTTGACACCAACTTCCAGGGACCCTCCAGGCAGTTGGGAACTGAGATAGCATACCTGACTCTCAGAGTCTGTGTGGGAAGTCTGGTTTGCAGGTGCTGACCTCAGTGCTGACTCTCTGCAAAGTCAGGCCCGGAACATGGGGTGTTCCATGCTTGGTGTGTAGATGCCTGTCCCTTCCCCAGGGAAGACAATGGGAAGGCCCATGTCCTGGATTCTAATCACTCCTGCATAGCCCCCAGCTATGATACGCACTTGTCCCTTGACCATTGTCCTTGACTGTGGGTTAGCTCATTGCTGTGCCAACCTCCACTGGTGCCCATCTCTGGGACTGGCAGTACCTGGAGGCAGCAACCTGGGGAGCTTACCCTGGCTGCACAGAAATGTGGCAGAACTCAACCTGGGTGCTGGGTCTCTATAGGCCTCCATATTCAGTACCTGGAGCTAAAGGCTTCAGAGTCCCAAGTCCTGAGCCAAGAGCCTGACAAGAATCTGACAAGCCAACTAGAAATGCTCAGGTGGGAGTCCACAGCACACTAGGGCTGTCAGCTGTCAGCTGTGGATGGAAGGCCAGCCGAGACTAGCTCAACACTCGAAGGTTTCCACATTAACCTCAGACCTGATGCTCCCCGGCACCCTGGAAGAGCTCACATGGCTGGATAGGAGGTGCCATCCCTCACTCCACTCCAAGCTTCAGCAGGTTCAGGAGGTGCAAAACGCAGTGGCCCCAGAGGTGGCTTGGCAAAGGGAATGCCCAGGAAGGTGTGGACGCCCATGTCGGTGCCTTTTACATGGACCAGGCTTCCTTGCACCTGCCCAGAATGTGTGGTCCTGATGGGGCTTGTGGAGTCCTGGCCTGTGGGCAGAGAGATACGATCAGGAAGGGCTGCCCCTCCAGCTGCCCCAACACTGCTGCTGTGGCTGCCTAGCTGCCATCTTTAGCTCAGCCTTATCCAGGACATGGCCGGATGCACACACACTCACTTTACAGAATCCTGGGTGGGCCTTGGAATGTGGATATTTCATCATAACAGTGCCAAGAATGTGATTTTGTATTGTTTTCAGGGTGTTGAAGTGAGGTTCTCTGATGTGTGTTGATTTGGGTCCTGGCTGTTCCACTCTTATCCAAGTCAATGCTAATGTGTCTAGGAAAGTAGGGGGATTGGCCCAAGTCCTTGGTCCCCTGAACCCACATGGGAGTCCAGAGAAAACTCTTGGCTCCAGATTGATTCAGCTCCTGCCCTTGTGGCCACTTGGAGACTGAACCACAAGTGGAAGATTTCTTTTCCTGTCTCTCCTCTTTCTTTAAATCTGCCTTTCAATAAGAATATAAACAATTTTTTTAAAGATTTATTTTATTTTATTATTAGAAAGGCAGCCATACAGGGAGAAGGAGATATAGAAAGAAAGATCTTCCTTCTACTGGTTCACTCACTGCAGCTGCCAGAGCAAAGCTGATCCAAATCGAAGAGCCCAGAGCTTCCTCTGCATCTCCCATATTGGTTGCAGGGTCCCAAGCCCATGGACCATCCTCCACTGCTTTGCCAGGCCACAAGCAGGGAGCTGGATGGGAAGTGGAGCAGCCAGGACATGGACTGGAGCCAATATGGGATTCCTGCAGATGCAAGGCAAGGATTCAGCTACTAGACCATCGTACAGGGCCATATAAACAATTTTTTAAAAAGCCTTTGATCCCAGGACAAGTGCATGGGCTAGAGGACCCTGTGGCCCCTCAACCAGTTGCAGCCCGATGCTCCCTGTGCTCCCAGGGCCAGTGACTTTGCCCAGGGCCCACAGAGGTGCTGCAAACGTCTGGCCAAGAGCAGCCACTAAGAATCAACATGCAGTGAGAGAAGCTCTAACTGCTTACTCACAGAGCCACTGGCACTCAGAATCAGCCACACACACACAGACAGGTGAGATATGTAGCCTAGCCCCTCCTCCACAAGATGCCCCCAAACAGGCCGTGCTGTTGGCCTCCCAACCTCTCTGTTTGTGCTTCCAGGCAGCCACCACCTCTCACAGTGTCTGAGGCACATAGCCTCCAGTACTCTCACCACCACCTCCCTCACCCCCACCAGCTCCCACTGCCTCCCAGATGCCAGTCCTCCAGCCTACAGGACTCTAAGTGCAAATCTGACCCTGGTTCGTGTGGCCAGTTAGGACGCCTCACCCTCGCCTGGGACGAGGAGCAGCAGGAGCCCGCAAGCCATGGTGCCGAGCTGCAAACACAGTCCGTGTGGTCCCATGGTCCGTGTCAGGTCCATGTGTATGCTGCTGCTGTGTGCCCCAGAGGCTGCCCGGGTGCCCTGGAGGTGGAGCCAGTCCTTGCCCAGGCTGGAGTTTGACCTGGGCAGGGAACAGGCAGGTCGGTTGCCAGGACGCAGAATGGGGATTGAGAAGGATATCCAAATGGACCAGCAGAGGTAAAGTGCAGACTCAGAGACCAGTAGGTGCAGACATGGCCTCCTTCCTTCAGTCTCAGTTACTGCTTAGTTAGCCCTAATAATTATAGAAATGAAAGAAATCAAATGCTCCAACTAAAGAGAAGAAATATGGAAAGAACTGCTATGTTCACATGACATAGTCTTGTATGTAGAAAGACCATAAGAATCCGCTGGAAAGAACTCTCATTAGAAATTACACACGAAGTTATAAGAACTCTAAGAACACATCTTTAAGACATTAATGTGACTTTAAAGAGGGCAAGTGGTCTAAATAGATCACTCTCAAAGAAATGCTATACAAACAGTGCAAAGATTAAAAGAAAAATTCAACATCATTAATTATCAGAGAAATACAAATCAAACTCACACAGAGAAATGGTCTCGCCCACTCAGGATGGTTACCCTAAGCATTCCAAAATGATCAACTGTGGTGACAATGAACTCTTCTCCAGGAGTCGGTGGATTCCTGTAGCATCCATATGTCATGGATCTACATTTACCATGTGATCCACACTCCTGGTACTGGGCAGCATCAAAGGGAAGTACAAAGAGGACGTCATGGAGAAACCTGTGCTGCAGTGTTTATTCTGGAACCACCGGCTGTAGGTGGGCTCATTCACCAATGAATATGGAAGGGGTTCTGGCATAGACACACCATGGAGTGTTATTCACTTATCAAAATGAAATTCTCTCATTGTGGCATCGTGGTTACATGCAAGACTTCATGTTGAGTGAAAGAAGTCAGCCACAGGGGAAAAAACAGCACATTCACACTCATTTTACATATTTTTAAAATATTCGATTTTTTTAAATCATTTTTAAAATTTATGTGAAAGGGAGAATCACAAAAAGAGGGAGAGAGAGATGTTCCATGTCCTGATTCACTCCAGAGTGGCCACAACAGCCATGGCTGTGCCAGTTTGAAGCCAGGAACGCACATGAATGCAGGGGCCCAAGCTCTTTGGCCAACCTCTGTTAGTTTCCCAGGTGTATTAGCAGGGAGCTGGATCAGAAGTGGAGCAACTGTGACTCAAAACAGTGCCCACATTGGATGCTAGCATCAGACACAATGGCTCAGCTCATTACACTATAGTGTTGGGCCTGCATTCGCTTTTAGAAGAAAATCAAGTTGATACCATAGCAGTAAGAGAATAATAGTGGTCACTAAGGGTAAGAAAGTAGGTGGAGGAAGACTATGTAGTGGTCAGATAACTGCTGGAAAAATACAGACACAATGGTTCTGGTGTTCTAAACCATAGCAGGTTACCTCCGCTGGCCCTTTATTAAGAAAGCTAACAAACAATAGTTCAGAGGGACTTAGAGAAGTATTTATTGTCCTGATTTGACTTTGGTATGTGGTGCGCATGTTTACCCAGTGGTGGGGTTCCCAGCACATTTCTGCTGAACAGGATAGGAGGATGAGTGGGCAGCCACATGAATGAAGAACCGTGAGTGGGTGCTGGCCTGTGTGTCCATCATGTAGCTCCGTGTGATGACTACAACTCTGTGTGCTTCTGCTCAGCCCCCATCAGCTCCTGCTTCCTCTGGGGCAGGGTCTGTGCCCAGAATGAGCGTCTGTGGGCCTTCAGGGCCTGGCCCACTGTGGGCTGCGTGCTCAGCTGCAGATACTTCTCCTCCTGGTCCAGGACAGGCCAATGTGGCAGGCCCTCGCCATTGGGGTTCCTGCAGAAGAGAGGTCATGAAGGAGGGATCATGGGACCTCTGAGGCCTTAAGCCCTGAGTGCCCTGACTAGGGCCAGGTCAGGCTGCCATATAGGTCAGGAAATGTGGGGGATAGTGTGCAGCTGCAGGAGAACTGACCTTCACTGGTATCAGCTCCACATAGGGACCTGCCAACCCAGGCTATGGTGCCCCTCACTTCCAAGGGAAGACACTGAGAATGATAGCTCATGGCCAAGTCCAGGAGATAAAGTAGGGGGTAGATGGGGAGAGTGTCCCTGGTTCTCAGGAACCCTGTGTGTGCCAAGGGAGCCTACCACTGGGGAGGGCACTGTCACATAACTAAGGACACTTGGCTGCTCCTGAGGTTCCCACAGGAGAGGGTCCCCTCGCCGTGGAGGACATAAGGATGTGGTGGGGTGTCTCACCCAGTTCGAGCAAAGTTGGCCCAGTACTTCATCATCCTCCTGCTCAGCAGCTCTTCCTCTTCAGTGAGAGTCACTGCAGCAGGGAAGGATACAGGGTCAACTAAGGCCAGCATAGGCCCGCTGTCCCACCGTGATCACAATTGCCAGCCCAGGCGCGCTGTCCCACCATGACCACACTTGTCAGCCCAGGCCTACTGCCCCAATTTCACCACATTCACCAGCCCAGTCCTGCTGCCCCACCGTGACCACACTCACCAGCTCAGATCCGCTTCTCACCATGACCACACTCACAGGCCAATGGAGCTTGATCTTTGTCCGTCAGCCTGATACTTGCCTTCACCTGAGCACAAGTACTTTGCTTTTCCTTTGTCAACCTTGCTATCCAAATCTGATGAAGGCCACCTGGCACTCTTATTTTACTGGCCCAGGAGGTCTCACTTTTCTGACCTTGAGGCCAGCTCTGCACCAGGACAGACACTAAATGTGGACGAACAGACAAAGCAGTATGGAACCCTGACCTGGAATCACACACTGTGATCCTGCTTCAGCCCTGAGAACCATGAGACTTGGGTGCTTGATGTCATCAGAACTCAGCCCTGTCATTTGTGCAGTGGGCACAGAGCCCCAGCAGAAGAGCCAAATGTTACATCCAAATCTTGGGAAAGAAGATGGCTCACCTTTTCCCCCAAAGAAAAAGGATCTGAAGAGAAAGGCAATTTCATCGCCATGGTTGGCTTTCACGTGGGACGGCCGGAAGTCCTTCATGAAACTGGGTGGCTGCTGGAACTCATAGAAGTAGACAGGGGCGTGGGAACCTGGATGACAGGTGCACAGGGTAACAGGTGGAGGCCCCATCCCTGAGTTCACACACTACCCAGGAAGACAGCAGAGTGATGACACTTGGTCTAACTTGAGCAGAGCTGGTGGAGTCCCAGGGAATAAGGGTCCTGGCAAGGGCCTGGTTGGGTCTTGGTCTTGGACTTTCTGGCTGGGAGGTCTTGACACAATGTAGCTGCCTCACCCTTGTTCCCACCCTATCTCCTGTTCTGTCCCCTGGTGGAGAAGTCCATCTCCTAAACTAGCAGGTAGGTGGACTGAGATAAAGGACATGAGTGCCTGCAGCCAAGTGACCCAGCCATATGTGGGTGGGTGCCTGGATAAGGAAGATTCCCCAGAGACCCAATACTGTAGTTGGAACCCCGACCTTTCATGCCATAGCCAAGGGTGAACTCACGCTGAAAATGTGCCACGTGGAGCGCTGGCATCACAAATAGCACATCAGCCATCATCTCCTGGAATTGAGCCATGAGGGTCTTGGGGTCCTCGTTGTCCCCCAGATACTCATCCACCATCGGCTCCACTATGTCAACAGGCAGCATCTAGCCCGAGGGACAGGAACTGAGTTAAGGGATGTAGACTGCCAGGGAGGGTAGCAACTTAAAAAGGTCCTGGATAAAAATGGGGAATGGGGCAAAGGAGCAGGCTCTGGGATATCCCATTCCAAGAACACACACACTGCCAGCTGTGTTTTGGTTCTGAGTTCCCACGGGGCAAGAAGCTCTTGATTGGGATCCTGGGGCCTCACCCATAGCTTAGAAGTCTGATGTATTAATGTCTCCATCGCTGCTCTGTCAATTTCCTTCTGGGAGTCTCCCAAAGCAGTGATCTGAGAGGTGAGCAGAGGGTATTGTGTTGGAGGTGGTTGTCCTTCTGGGAGTCTCCCAAAGCAGTGATCTGAGAGGTGAGTAGAGGGTGTTGTATTGGGGGTGGTTGCCTCAAAGCTCTGATGCCCTGAGGGTTGCCCATGAGACAGGCTCGTGGATACTCAGCCTGGACTCACCTTGGGGATCCAGCCATACTCATCATTGTTGACACCAATGATGCTGGGAACAGGTTGGAATTCAGCAGAGGTCAGCAGCTCATAGGGATGTCTGTGCAGGAAGATGCCATCCACCACCGCAGATATAATCATGAAGGCCTGGGGCACCCAGGGGTGTGGGAAAAGCTTTGTGGTATAGACTGTTTCATGAGAGTTTCTCCCATACATGGCTCATCCCCCATCCCCTTGCAGGTGTCCACACTTGCCTTACGTTATGACCACCCTAGCATGGGCAGATAGCAAGGCATGGACATGAGATGGTAGTCTAGGGACTTTGAAGGGCCTTGTAACTCATCACCCCTTTGTATCAGTGAACGGAGTCCCACCTTGGTCATCTCCAGCATCTCCTCTTCACTCTTGGCCCGCAAGCAGCCCACCAGGGTCTCAGAGTCCACCTGGCCACAGCCAGACAGGTTGGCCACCACCTGGGAAGGGAGCACATGGGAGACCCATGCAGGAGAGAAAGGAGGGTGTTGGAGGCCCAGAAAGAAGCAGAAGCAGAGTTTTGTGGATGCACAACTGTGGCCTGGATGCACACTAGTCTTCCCTCTCTGACTTGAAGCATCTCAGCCTGTGAGCTGACCTGTTTGGCTACAGACCAGGTGGACCTCAGAGGGCCACTTTTCAGGGCTCAGAACTGTGTCAGATTCTCCTGAGGCACAGACACGTGGGTTGTGACCCCTGAGCCCATCAGCCATCCCGTGGGTGGGCAGTGCCAAGGCACCTGTTGAACCATGTGTGCCAAATAAGACATTGCAGCAGACGCTGCCAGAGGGAAAATGGCCTCTATGGGCCAAAGCTACACCATTAGGGGACACTCACCATGGAGACTGGCTCAGATGAGTTGGTGATGAGGCCAGGCATCACGGCCACACCACTCTGCATGATGGCTCCATGGAAGAGCCCTTGCGACATGGGCGACAGCACATGTGAAGACACGCTTGTTCCCCCTGCAGACTCGCCAAATATGGTGACCCGGTCAGGGTTGCCTCCAAAGCTGGCAATGTTTTTCTGCACCCAGCGCAGTGCGGCCACTTGGTCCAGGTAGCCCCAGTTGCCACTGGCATGCTGGTCTCCAGTGCTGGGAAGAAGCAGGGACAGGGATGGCCAAGTTGTGTCAGGGCCCTCCTCCCTCAGTGCTTGGCCCAGGCCCAGGCTCACCTGAAGAATCCCAGGATGCCGAGGCGGTACTGGATGGTGACCACCACCACGTCCTCAAAGGCTGCCAGAGTGGAGCCATCGAACACGGAAGCCATGCCTACAGCCAGTGCTCCCCCATGAATCCACACCATCACCTGGGAATGTCAGGGTTAATGCCAGGATGCTCCTTCCAGCCTGAGCCTCACTAGACCACAACTCCCTAACCCATGCTTTGGTGCAGTCAGAACCTGGCCATGAGCCAGAGACCCAGGTATAGCTGGGCAGCCCAGGCCTGCTGTCTTTCAGTCCTACACTATGTTCAATGCTTGGCTCTTTCAGCCCCATAGCCTGCTGTTGGGTGGAAAGGAAAGCAATGTCTTTTTGATCAATCACATGATGCTATCAAAAAGGCCCCCCTTCCCGTAAGATGGGTGTATTGTGATATTCAAGCATAGCCTCAGTCAGCTGTGTGTCTCATAGACATGAGGTGTTATCTGTGTCTCAGACCACCTGGCCCCACACATTCTGACCTCTCACAGCAAATAGGCCTCTGGGACCTCGTGTCCCGTCCTCAGCTGCCTACCTCGGGAAAAGGCACTTCCTAGACCCCATAAGGAAGTGGCCTCCCACCAGAATCCAGAGCACTGGAGGACACGATCACCTTCTCCATTCCCATCCTCCAGCAGTGGGCCAGATGTCTTCTCACCCCCAGCTGCCTATGGCCTCCCACTTACAGGCAGTTTGGAGCCCTCACGGGCATGGACAGGTGCATAGATGTTGAGGTACAGGCAGTCCTCGGACATGGGGATGGACAGCAGGGTCAATGTCGTATTCAGAGCATCATCATCCATTATTGCAAGGTTCTGTGGACACCTGGGACCAGCCAAGGCAGGTATTAGTGCAGGATCCACGTGGTGACCCAAGACAGAGCCTGGGCCCAAACTTGTCCCTGGCCCTCTCTGTCTCCTCCCTCTTTACCTTGTTCACTCATTTGCCTATGCTAATGTCCCTTCTGACCCAGATACTGCTGGGAGACTGTGGGAAAACTGTGATGGCACTAACTTCCAAGGATCCTCCAGGCAGGTGGGGGCTGAGTCAGCACACCTGACTCTCAGAGTCTTTGTGATAAGTATGACCTTCAGGTGCTGACCTCAGTACCATGTCTCTCTGCACAGTCAGGCCCATGGAGGCCTCCCACACATGTGCTGGGTGCATGAATGTCTCTCCTTTCCCTAGGGAAGGCAGTGGGACGGCCCATATCCTGGGATCCTCATCACACTTGCACAGCCTCCAGCTGTGATACACATATCTTCCTTGGTGAATCTTTGGGCTCTTTGGCTCAGTGCTGTGCCCAGCCTCCACTGGTGCTCATCTTGGGACCTGCAGGATCTGCTGATGGAGCAGGAACCAACCTGGGGAGGTCATCCAGGACAGTGTCCCTGGCAGCACAGGAATGTGGCAGAAGTTATATTTGGAAGCTAAGTCTATGCCTCCATCTTCAGCACCTGGAGCTAAAGGTCTCAGAGTCCTAAGTCTTGAGCCAAGAGCCTGGCAGGAGCCTGACAAGACCCAATGGAAGTGTTCACATGGGTGTCCATAGCACACTAGGGCTGTCGGCTGTCAGCTGAGGATGGAAGGTCAGCCAGGCCTGGCCTAGCACGCATAGGCTCCCAAACACACCCCAGACCTGTTGCTACCCTGGGTGGGCCCCTGGGAGAGCTCACATGGCTGGGTAGGAGGTGCCATCCCTCACTCCACTCCAAGCTTCGGCAGGTTCAGGAGGTGCAAAGCGCAGTGGTCCCAGAGGTGGCTTGGCAAAGGGAATGCCCAGAAAGGTGTGGACACCCACATCGGTGCCTTTCACATGAACCAGGCTTCCTCGCACCTGCCCGGAATGTGTGGTCCTGATGGGGCTTGTGGAGTCCTGGCCTGTGAGCAGAGAGATACAATCACATAGAGATGCCCTACCAGCTGCCCCTTAACACTGCTGGTACAGTCACCTCTTTGCTATTCTCATTTCAGCCTTATCCAGGACCTGGATATACACACACTCACTTCACAGAATCCTGGGTGTTCCTTCCCGATTCCATCCTAATGAAATGATGAAAGAGCCCATTTGTAGTAACCAAAAGCCCATGTGGACTTTCGCAGCTGTGGCCGGGGTTGCACTGAGTGGGCGAGAACTGAGATGGATGCCTCTGGGAATGCCAAGCAAGCCCAGGACATAGGAGCAGTGTGGACACTTGTATGAGGCCCTGGGAACCAAAATGGCCTTTGGGGAGGAAATCCCAACCTGGAAGCGATAGGAGGCCACAGTGCTGGACACTTTTCCCCACTCACGGTTTCCTCTCACTACCCTGTTTTTGACCTCAGAAATCACAGATTCATCTAACTTCCCATACCAGAAATAGGATAATACACAAAGTCTGGACTCTGTGTTTACAGGCTGCTTTCTGGTCCTTTTCCCCGCCCCAGTGTACCAATAGTTGTCATCACATTGGCATTCTATAAGGTGACTTGTGAGGCATCTGGGCAAACCTGATACCAGCTTGCATAAAGAATTTTAGCATCCTCAGCTTTCTGGGACTTGTGCTCCGGGACTCAGTGCCTGCTATGGAGACTGCAGGATGACCAGCATGTTGATGACCTCTCAGAGACAACCACTCTTTGAAAAATTAGAGACTTAATATTTGTTGGCTGGGTGAAGAAGATAAGAATTTTTCCTTCCCATTTCCCCTTCACTTTGGCTCAGTGAGGGAGCTGTAATATATACACAGAAGCAGAAGCTGGGGGTTCAGCTTTAGTTAATATCCTTTGGACTTTTTCCACCTGAGTTGTTAGTATGCAGATTTCATCCTAAATTTTGTGCCCCTGTGTTCATATTGACACACATACACACAAACATTACATCCTTTGTCACACAGAATGGATTGCTTGTGTTGAGCAATTAACTATTTCTTCTTATTTTTGAAGATTTATTTGTCCATTTGATAGGCAGAATTAAAGAAAGAGGGACAGACACACACACACACACAGAGGAGAGAATAAGAGCGAAAGACTCTTTTCATTTCTTGATTCAAATGACTACAACAGCTATCGCTGGTCAGAGTGAAGTGAGGAACCGTAAACTGCATCTGGGTGTCCCACATGGGTTGAAACGGTCTGAGCGCTTGACCGTCTTGTGCTGTTTTCATGGGTGTGTAAGAAGGAATAGGACAGGAAGTGGAGCAACTGGGACTCAAACATGCACATGGAATGCTGGCCCCACAAGGGAGCTTAACCCTCTGCACTTTAACACTGATCCCTCCGTTGCTTCTTTAAAGATTAAGAATTTTCGGAAAAAAAAAATAAAAAAAATTCACATGCTCATCATATTGGGTCAAGGATGTGATTTTTAATGGTTTTTAGTGGAGTGAAACTTTGATCCTCTAGGAAGCACTTGGCCCTTCTTATGAATTTGGGAAACTCTGTGCCCACACCAAGAAACAACTGTAGTCTTTCTGAACATGGAACCAACATGAAATACCATTAGAGTCCTGGAGACAGGGCTGTGGCCCAGCAGGTTAACTGTAGCCTGTGACGCCAACATCCCACATCCGGGCACCCATGGCAGTCCCAGCTCACTGCTTCTGATCCAGCTCCCTGCTAATGTACCTGGGAAGACAGCAGAGGACAGCCTGAGTGCTTGGGCCCATGTAACTCATGTGGAGTTCCTGATTCCTGGTTTCCACATGGCCCACCTCCACTTGCCATGGCCTTTTGGGGAGTGAGCCAGCCCCTGGAAGATCTCCTTCTTTCTCTACTCTCCCACTTCCATGGATCTGTCTTTCAGGTAAGTAAGCCCTGAAAGAAATGGATACACCAATGACTAACAGAGCATCTGGAAAAGTAGTTCTTCATCCAGAAAGGTCTGGGTCACCTTGGAGAGTGGCGGAAAGGCCAGGTAAGGGTAGAATTTCAGTGAAGGGGATGAGGGCAGGTGAGTAAGAGGACAGGGTGAGTGTGGATCTCCTTTGGCAGATTAGATTGGGAAAGGGTGGGGAGAAGGACTTTGACCTAGAGCATCAAGGATCAAAACACACCCAGGCCTTTTGTCCGCATAGCCTGAGCTTCTGATAAGAGACCCAAGAACCCTGGTCAGACACGGGGCACTGCCAGCTTTGCCTGTGGGGGAGGTAGCAGCATGGTATTGTAGGCTAAGCTTCTGTCTGTGGTGCCAACATCTTATATAGTTTGAGTCCTGGCTATTCCAATTCCTATTTAGGTTGATGCTATTATTCCAAGGACAGCAAAAGCTGGTGGCCCAAGTCCTTGTTCCCCAGAACCCACATGGAGTCCAGAGAAAGCTCCTGGCTCCAGATCAGCTCAGTTCCTGCCTTTGTGGCCATTGGGGAATGAAACCCAGGAAGGAAGAATTTCTCTCTTTCACTCTTCTCTTTCTCCAAATTTGCTTTTCAATAAGAATATAAACAATTAAAGAGGAAAAATAGCCATTTATTTTTGCATGGGCTAGAGGTCTTTGTGGTCCTTCAGACCAGTTGCAGCCCTAGGCTGCCTGAACTGCCAGGACCAGTGACCTTGCCTTGGGACCCTCATAGGCAGCTGGGGGCCTCTGTCCAAGAGCAGTGCCTGAGAGTCAACCCCCAGAGGGAGAAGCCCTAATCACATGTTCACAGCACCTGTAGACAGCACCTAGGGCAGCACCCAAATTAGGCACAAACACAGGCAGAAAATGCTCCTAACCCGTCCTCCACAAGCTGTCCTTTTGACTGTCCTCCTGTTGGTTTTGCTTCTCAGTGGCTCAGGTCCCTGGCAGCCATGATTCTCTCAGCCTCTGGGTGCATCAAGGGCATGGGGAAAGTGCCCATTCACCCCCTCCCTCTGTACCACACCAGTCCTGGTTTGGCGCTCTAACTATCAATCTGACCCAGGTCCTTGCGGTCGCCCGCGGGATTCTCACCCTGACTCGGAACAAGGAGCAGCAGGAGACCGCAGACCACGGTGCCAAGCTGCACGCACAGCCTGTGAGTTCCCATGGTCGCAGGCAGGTCCATCTGTGTGTTACCCTGTGTGCCCCAGAGGCTGCCCCACTTGCTGGGGGCAGAACAGTGTGTCACCCAGCCTGGAGTTTGACCTCTGCAGGAAGTGGGTGGGGTGACCATTGTGGGGCAGGGATTGGGATTCAAGATGAACTCCATTGACTCAGCAGAGAGCAGCTGCGGAGGACACCAAAGCCAACAAATGTGCTCATGGCCTCCCCACTTCTGTCCCTAACCCTGCTTGTTCCATGAGACCCTCCCCTCAGTCCTGGAGCCACTGAGCTCACTGTCCTCACAGAGAGGAGGGAGCAAAGGGCTGGATTTGGAGAGCCAGGAGGCCTTCTCAGTGGAGGGATGAGAATCCCCAGAGATGGCAATATGGGATGATCCCTGGGTGTATGGGGTTGAACCCCAACATGTGTGATTGTCCCTGAGCACTCAGAGCTCCTCCCTGGCTCAGGACTCAGTTTGCTTGTCCCTGCTAATTCACAGTCCCTCCTGACTCAGTATGCCTTTTTCTTTTCTTTTCTTTTTAAAAATTTACTTAGGAATCTGAGAAGGAGAGTCCCCAGATACCTGCAGTGATTAGGTCTGTGCCAGGACAAGACCAGGAGCTGGAACTCAGTCCACAGGCCATGGATCTGCATCTACCATGTGATCCACACTCCTGGCACTGGGCAGCATCCAAAAGAAACCTGCACTGCAGTGTTTATTCTGGAACCATCAACAGTAGGCAGGCTCCCTGATTGATGAATATGGAAGGGGTTCTGACATAGACACACCATGGAGTGTTATTCATCCATCAAGATGAAATTCTCTCAACTGTGGAAACATAGTTACAAGAGGACTTCACGTTGAATGAAAGAAGTCAGCCTCAGAAAGACAAACAGCACATTTACACTCATTTTACATATTTTTAAAGATCGGTTAATTTACATGAAAGACAGAGTCACAAAAAGAGGGAAAGAGATGTGTGTCTGTTGTTCCATATGTTGATTCACCCCAGAGTGGCCACAAAAGTCATGGCTGTGCCGGTTCAAAGCCAGGAGCCCGTGTGAATGCAGAGTCCCAAGCTCTTTTGCCAACCTCTGCTACTTTCCCAGATGCATTGGCAAGAATCTGGATCAGAGGTGAAGCAGGACTCGAACCAGTGTCTATGTTCAATGCTGGTTTCACAGACACTGGCTTAACTCACTGCACCACAGTGCTGGTCCTGCACTCACTTTAGAATTTAACAAAGGCAATGTAGCTACAGCTATAAATAGCTATAAATAGAACAGCAGTGATCTAACAAGGTAAGAAAAGTAGGTGGGGACATGGCAGGTAGATAACTTTTGCAAAAATACATATAAGCAAAAATGGTTTTAGTATTCTAGGCTCTGGAGGGTGCCTAATGTCAATCCTTTATTAATTTATCTTAGAACAGCTAGCTGGCAAGAATTCAGAGGGGGCTAAGAGAGATGTTAGTTGTCCAGATATGACCTTGGGACAGGGCACACATGTTTACAGGGTGGTAGGTCCCCATCTCTGTTGAATGGAAGGACAGAATGACGTGTGGGTGGCCACATGGATGAACAATCCAGTCACAGCTGCTCTGTGAGTATGAGTGGGTCCTGGCCTGTGAGTCTGTCATACAGCACCACGCGCTCCTCCTGCTCAGCCCCCATCAGCTCCTGGATCTTTTAGGACAGATACCTGGTCCAGATCTGACACCCATGGGCAGAAAGACGATCAGGAGAGGTGCAAGCACCTCTCCAGGAAATACTTTGTCACGTGAAGTGATACAACCAGCAGCTAGATTTCCTATTGGGAGTATACAACGCTGTACAGTCGACTTCATAAAGGTGTGACTGGTGCCTCCCTCCTCCTGATCTCATAAGCTGAAATCTCAGGCACTATCTCCGACAGGTCTCAGAAATGGGGGTTATTTTAAGCTGTGTCTCCCTGCTTTTGTCATTCTAAAAGATGGGAAGGGATATGTTGAATCTGTGTCTTTGTTTTCCCTCAATAAGACCTTGCGTGAACCTGGGGAGAATGTACTCTTTTTTTTTTTTTAAAGATTTATTTTTATTATTTTTTTATTGGAAAGGCGGATACACAGAGAGGATACACAGAGAGGAGAGACAGAGAGGAAGATCTTCCATCCGATGATTCACTCCCCAAGTGAGCGCAACGGACGATGCTATACCGGTCCGAAGCTAGCAGACTCTTCCGGGTCTCCCACGCGGGTGCAGGGTCCCAAGGCTCCGGGCCGTCCTCGACTGCCTTCCCGGGCCACAGGCAGGGAGCTGGAAGGGAAGCGGGGCCGCCGGGATAGAACCGGCGCCCATAAGGGATCCCGGGCATGCAAGGCGAGGACCTTAACCACTTGCGCCACCGCGCGGGGCCCGAGAATGTACTCTTGAAAGGGTAATGGGAAAAAGCAAGGTTTTATATTTTACAAGGTAACTTCACCAGGGACCAGAGACCCTAATTGTGTATTATCCTGTCTGACTCCTTGCAGTATTAGTGATAGGTGAGCTGGAGCTAGATCAGATTACATGGAGAACAAGGGCAGCTTCTACACAGATGCTCCTGGTACCCAGGATGGCAGCACGGTGGTCCTGGACTCCCAGGATACCCAGGGACAATGTGTCCTTTCTGAGATGGGAACCAGCCCCACACATGATTTTAATGAGAGCTATCCAGTGTGGGGCTGAGTCTTCTGCTTAGATTGTCCTGGTCACTTGGGAGAGACCCAACAAGGGCAGGGAGAGAGGGAGCCTGCTGGGTGAGCCCCAGAAAGAAGCAGGAGTGTGGACTACTCCTAGAAGGTTGGATTGGGAAAAGGCTGGGACAAAGTCTTGAGGCTTTGGTTATTTTTGTGTTTTCTTTTTTTTTAAGATTTATTTATTTTTATTACAAAGTCATATATACAGAGAGGAGGAGAGACAGAGAGGAAGATCTTCCGTCCAATGATTCACTCCCCAAGTGAACACAATGGCCAGTGCTGTGCTGATCCGAAGCTGGGAACCAGGAACCTCTTCTGGATCTCCCACATGGGCGCAGGGTCCCAAAGCATTGGGCTGTCCTTGACTGCTTTCCCAGGCCACAAGCAGGGAACTGAATGGGAATTGGAGCTGCCGGGATTAGAACTGGCGTCCATATGGGATCCCGGCACGTTCACTTTAGCTGCTAGGCCATGCCGCTGGGCCCAAGAGGACACTTCTAACCTGTGAAATGGAATGTGACATAGTGGAGACCTCGTGGGAAACTCTATGGAAGTGCCTCAAAAGTTGATTTTGGGTCCAATATTTAAAGCAGCATAAGAAACGCATTTAAAACAAAGGTTTTCGTTTTTGTTTTTAAGTGAAATTTCTACTATAATCTCAAGAATTCCTGTCTGGTAAATATGCTAAGAAACAAAAATATAGTAGAAGGGGTACCTGCACCCTGCATTTGTATAGTGATTTTTCTGATACCTGAGCCCTGCAAGCTGCCAGGTGTGTGAAACTGTGGCAAGGTTACTCAGATGAGTATTTCTCAGCTGAAGGAACTGGAGCCTTTATTTGTGGCAACATGGAGGAAATGGAAAGAGGTCACTCATGGCAGCCTGAAGGCACCAGGACTTGGTGATCCAGGTACCCAGGTACCTATGGGCAGTTTACAGACATGAGCTTACAGGGCATGCTGGAGGAGGGTTTCTGGCATGCAATGATAGGCAACAATCCACAAAGCAGTTCCCACTAGATTTCTATGGCTTGGGGCTAGGAGGATAGGAGAGCCAGGGTGGGGAAGAGGATGTAAGGCAAGCAGAAGAGGTCCAGGACAAGTGGATGAGGAGGAAGGTGGGCTTCTTTGGGCACCAACAGGCATCATCCCACGGGGGCAGTTTTGAACGCACCTGGTGAAGAGCACCCAGGGCAGGCTGGGCAGAGAACCCTGGACAGCAGGATTTTGACAAGGGTATGCCGAGGGGACAGAGGGTAGACAAGGGACAGTTGAGGGTGGGAAAGGGGCCCCCATATAGACACAGGCAGCTACAGCTCTGTGTGTTTCTGCTCAGCCCGCATCAGCTCCTGCATCTTCTTGGGCAGAGTTTGTGTCCAGAACCGGTGTCTGTGGGCCTTCAGAGCCCGGCCCACTGCAGGCTGTGTGTTCAGCTGCAGGTACTGCTCCTCCTGGTCCAAGACGGGCCAGTGTGGCAGGTCCTTGCCATTCGGGTTCCTGCAGATGAGAGGTCAAAAGTGGGGATGGTGAGACTTCTGAGGCCTTAACCCCTGAGTGCCCTGGCTAGGGCCAGGCCAGCTTGCCTTGCAGACCAGGAGGGATAGTTAGCAATACAGGAGAGCTGTCACCTCCCCTGACGATAGCTTTATGGAGATCTGCCAACCAGGACAGTGGTGTCCCTCACTCCCAAGGGAAAAAATCTGAGAGTGTCAGCTCTTGGCTAAGTCCAGGACACAAAGTGGGGTGAATGAGGAGAGTGTCCCTGATCCACAGGACCCTTGTGTAGCCAGCAGATCCTGAAGCAGGGGAGGGCATTGTCACATGACTAAGGACACTGCTGAGGTCCCCACAGCGGAGGGTCCCGTGGCCCAGGGAGGTTAGACTGGGGTGTCTCACCCGGTGCGAGCAAAGTTGGCCCAGTACTTCATCATCCTCCTGCTCAGCAGCTCCTCCTCCTCAGTGAGAGTCACTGCAGCAGGGAAGGACACAGGGTCAGCTCAGGCCAGCACAGGCCCTCTTTTCCACCTGATCACACATGCCAGTCCAGTGGCGCTTTACTCTTGGCTCCCATTATGAAGCTTGCTTTCTCCTAAACTACCAGATTTTACTTTTCCTTTGCCAAACTTGTTATCCAAACCAGTTCTCAAATTCACCTGAACTTGGCCTCTTACTGGCATAGTAGGTTTCATGCTTCTCACCTTGAGGGATCACTCAGGGGTCAGCTCTGCACCCAGGCCATACATTCATTAGAGCCAGCCAGAAGAGAAGGGAGCCAGGTCTGGAGGTAC